CGCGCTGTCCGTAGAACAAATGAAGACTAAAGCTGAGTGTCGCGCTCTGTATACGATTTTAGCGCCTTACAAGTGCGGACACTTTTTAGCGCGGACCCGACTGCCGCAAGTACAGCAATTTGTATGAAAACCAAGCATACCACATTTTTTGTACCCACTATGACGTCACAAGAACTGTTTAGTGATGAAACCTCCTTTCGCTCGCTCTAAATCGATTGATTGAACGAAATATGCGTAAATACGCGTATTCCATTCAATTAATCGATTCCAAACAGAATAATTTTTGTTCAAGTATTTGTTCGTTACAAATGTAGTCGTAATATTAATATAGTAAAAATTACTAGAATAAGATATTTAAATCCATTAAATCCTTTATTTTACTTGTTTTAAAAAAAATTTGATTAAAAAAATTGAGACTTGAATTTTTAATCGACTTTAAATATTAAAATTATTGTCCTTCCCATAAAATGAGCTCATTTTAAAACAAAGACAGCGCACTGTTAATTCTTTGCATTATATATTTTTTTGTATTACTCGTACTACATATCTGGCGATGTACTCGTATGTAATTATTTGCTCACTACATTCGGACATTCGAAGCAACGTGCTGCATAATCGCAGTACAGAGTACTAAAAAAACCGACCTCGAAAGTACGTGGAACGATATATAATTACCAAGTTTTATTGAAATCGGTTACCGGAAAGTGCGCAAACCGGATTCATCCCCTAGTTCGCCACTATACGGGACTTGACACAGGAGATGATAAAAATCGTTTCTCACTACTCAAAGTATATTGAGAGAAAAACGCCTTGAGTTAAAAAATAGCAAAATCAACTATTAAAATAATTGCTCACTATACTAAAATTTAGGCGCTATTTATAAACATGGATCTTCATGCGTGAACAGACACGCTTAGAGGTGGATGATTTCCTTCAAAATTAAATGGGACCACTATGGAGGTACCCTCTTTCTAACAAAAAAAGAATCATGAAAATTGGTTCACAAATACCGGAGTTATCGCGTAACATACATACGAAAAAAAACATATAGTCGAATTGAGAACCTCCTTCTTTTTGTGAAGTCGATTAAAAAATTATCGAAATTACAGATACTACTGATAATAGATACTACAAACCTGAAAAAAAAAACGGGATGTTACTAAATGTTATAACAAAAAAGTTATAGAATGTAAGTTTTAATAATTCCCGTCCCTTTTTCAAAATCGATCAGAATCGAGAACAGTGTTGCCTAACGTCTACAATGTTAAATTTGGCCAAAGAAATGTACAAGCGGCCATACCACGAAATGCATTATACAAAAGTGCGTTCGTTCAATATTCATGGCGTATTAACAAAGGATCACAAATATTTCGCACCAAGTAAAAGACGCAATGTAAAAGAAAGAAATCATTTATTCCTTGAAACACAGTACACATGCATTTTATAATAATAATACTGATAATAATAGTAATAATAACCTAAGGATTTGAAACTGAATACATATAATATATAGAGTACAAAGCGTTGCTGTGCTGCCAAGGAAACCGTGACCCACTCAGCTTGTTGTCGTCTCACATTCAAGTGCTATGACGCCGATTTTCAGCGGATCCGGCAACAGAACATACACACATCAAAAAAAGTTTGCGATCAATAGCATAAGCTCCTATAATTCTTTAAATTTAACTTTATCAAGAAAAAATCTATGTTGTATGCTTTCTTTAAATAGGAATACCCTGTTTGAAATTAAAATATAAAACTATTTTTTATTATTTATTTTAAAAAATTGAGCCATTAATCATAATGTAATAGTGATAGAAATTTCATAGAAAGAAAAAGACTGTTTAATTAAACTTAAACAACAATTTATTATTAAAAGGTGTGAATTCAATATAAAATAACTCCTCCCTTGGTTCGAATACATGCGAAGATCCTCCTGGGCATGCTGAGGATCAAGTTATCCAGCATTTCCTGGGGTAACCTATCCCATTCTTCAATAGCGGCTTCCCTGAGCTCTGGAACTGTCTGGGGACGTGGCTCACGGTTCCATACTGCTCGTTTAAGAGCTTCCCACGCGTGCTCTATTGGGTTTAAGTCGGGCGAGCCGGCAGGCCAGTCTAATCGTGTGATATTGTATTCTTGAAGAGCAGCATTGACTCGTTGAGCTCGATGTGCGGGCGCATTATCATCGACCAGTACAAATTGGTGCCCATGGTTTACTCGGAATGGTCTGATGATATCATCAATAGCAACTGCTTTGTACATGTCTGCTGTCATGAAGCCCCGATACGGGATCAAAGGCGTTCTAGCTCCAATCATAATGCCACCCCAAAAGGACACCGATTTTCCGCCTTGCTGAACTGTTCCAGTGGCAGTTCTTTGTCTTTCACGGTCGCCTGGTCTTCTCCAGACACGGACACGTCGGTTGTCTGGATGAGTGCTGATTCGGGATTCGTCAACGAAGAGACAGTTTTGCCAAATGTTTTCGTCCTCACCTTCTTCATTTTGCCGAAGTCTAGCCCACTGCAATCTTCGTTGTTGACGTTGCCGGGAATTGAGCGGAGCTCGCCAAGACCTCCGTGCTCGTAATCCAGCCTGGTGCAAGCAATTGCGAACGGTCTGCGTGCTAACTTCAAGCCCAGAGGCGGCCCTGACTTCTGCTTTTATTTTAGTGGCGTTGATTGTTGGATCACGGGCTGCCAGCAATCTAATATAGCGCTTTTGGGCAGCTGTCAAAACAGTTGGGCGACCGCTGCGGGGTCGGTCAGCTAAATTCCCCATTCCGTGATACCTCTGCAACGTAGCCACGACACAGGATTGGGATATAGCAAGTCTGCGTGCTATTACTCTCGTGGTGTATCCTTCTTCCCTCAAAGTTACCATTCTAGCTCGTAAAACCTCTGACAATCCTCTTGGCATTTTTTCAATCACAACTTTCCGCGAAAAATATCTTGAATCGCTTATAATTGACTAAATCAGATTTCTGAATGAGCGTAAGCTAGGACTGAAAGCCTTTTTATATGAAAAAACAATTGAACGGGGTCATTGTTTTATGTTCTAATTTATTTTTAAATAAAGAATCTAAAAAGAAGAAAAAATCATAATATAATCTACAGTAACAAAAAAGGTTTCAATTTTTCGAAGTGATCGCAAACTTTTTTTGATGTGTGTACGTGACACGGAACATAGTAGGCGACACTAATCACATGAGATGACACAAGCACGTAATTACATTAATTTAAACACAAAACATGAACAGTCTGTTCCGTTAAGATACAATTGACGTAGTTACCATTTAATAAGTACTATGTCATACGCAACAGATTACAAGACAAATGAATGGAAATTAATATGATAAAATAGGAACTTATATACAGGGTGTCCCAAAACTCAACGTCAAACGGTCACTGGGCGAGAGGCCACGTTATATCAGTCCTGGTAAAAAAATAAATAAAAATCCATGTCACTTAGTTAAGTGATAATGGGCATTTTTTTGAAAATGTTGAATTCGATACCTTAGACCACATGTTTAGGTACTGTCGTCACAAATTTTCAAATTTTGGAGTGATTTTTTTTAACGTCATCATAAATAACCATGCTATTTATTGCAGTCACAAATCAAACAATAAACGTTATGAGTTTAGTAAAAAAAAATAAGTTTCATTGAGTCGTAGCTTAAATCATATTTAAAAAAAAATGTACTACCCTACCCTGGGCAAGTTGTTTTAAAAGATGGCCCATATAATCAAGATTTCAAAATGGTACAATACTTGCCACTCTTCATTCCATAAAAAATATTATAACTTATTTTTTGCAAAAGGAGCTCGTTTAAAAAAAAACTCATGCCATGATAAATAATACTTTTGTGTGCTCAAAGATTGGCTTTTAACATCGCGGAAGTGATTTTAAAGCGGATTTTAATTTAAAGCCTCAAATAGACCACAGACTACTTAAGTGATTTTTTTTCTTCTTTCCATAAAGGAAAAGGCAAAAGTTTTACACCATACAGCCAAGTCTTGGTACATTGTTCTTTTTTGGTACATGAAGTTGAATTATGTTTCTGTAAATATGGCCGCCACAAAGAGGATAGGCAATTTGAGGCGGCGTGGTTGGATTGACTCGGGATTCCTTAGAACGGGCCGATACGGGTATTTTAGTTCGAGATTCGTATAATTTCGCGTTTTAATCTTCGATTAAGGCACAATAGCACTATCCTATTCCACTTTAAACTAGATTTCACAAAATAATTGAAAGTCAAAATAAAAACGACACTTTTCCCTCCAAAAGGTCCAGAGCGAATCCCTCTACTTAAGGGCGGCCGCACACGCTCGGTTTCCTGATTAGGTTTCCGAATCATGAATTCAGATCCGGAATTCCGCGTGTCTAGCGCAAACCATCGTTTTTTCTGTATTAGCAATTTACACGGTCAGTTCGAATAGAGACGCTTCTGTGAAAGCACTATGGACGACAACGATCAATTGATTGCTATTGCACTTTTACTGGCGCTAGACAAGAAGAAGAGAAAACGTCGTTACTGGGTACATCCTTTGAACACTCAGAGATTAACGGAGAGTCAATACTATCTCAAAAGAGCAAAGTTACGAGCACACCCAGAAGAATTCTTCAAATATTACAGGATGTCAATAAAATCCTTTGATGAGCTTCATAACGGCATACGAGATAAAATAAAAAAGCAAAGTACTTGCATGAGATTGTGTTTGGATACAGAAGAAAAGTTGACAATAACATTAAGGTATGTATTTATTTTAACAAAATCAAAATATTGGTACAGACAATACACTTTTAATTTACTTCAGTTTTAAAAATTCATGAATTGAATCCTTCTGTGAATCTTCAGACTGTAGTACTAAGAACTGTGAAGCCTCACTATCTTCAGCACTAGTCTCTGGTATAGATAACTTAGGGTAATCGTGCCCGGGACTTTGTTGGGTAGTTGATTGGGGAGGTGTCATATTAGTAATTGAGTGGATAACAATAGATTTTCAAGGGGTATTCGTACGGAGGTCATTTTGCTGCTGGGAGAATGAGTGATAAGTTGGTGGTGATGGAGATGGACTTTGCAAATATATAGGTGAATTTTTCGGCCCTGAAGAATTGTCACGATAGTGGTAATAGTTCGTGTATCGAGACTGTGGTGGCGATGGATCATTTTCCATGGTGACTGTTTTGACCAAGTTAAGCATACCCACTTTAAAATCAATTTTTTGCCGAGCATTCATTGTTTTCATATAACTTCTGAAACTTAGTAGATATTTAGTGTCGTCATCTTCGTCAGTATTAGCAGGAGTTTGTTTCTGTTTTTGTTGTAACGTATTTAATATCTCACTGGGGACATCTTTCTTTCTTTTTTGTTTAACCACTGGTAAAGTTGGCTTCGGCGACTCCAAATGATTGATAGCTTCCGGTTCAATATTATGTTCTACATTTGGTGTTTGATTAGATTCTGAATCTTCTTCTTTTTCTTGTGGATAATTTCCTTCAGAAACTCTTTTAGCGAATATGGGTGTTAAAAAGTAAAGCAATTCACTATAAATATAATATATGTTTTGGACTTTTTGGCTGCACTGCCAGTAGGAACTTTTTTGGCGTTTTGTACTTCCTTCCGGTAATAGTCTCTAATGTTGGTCCACCTCTTCTTCAATTCAGCACCTGAAATGTGTTAAAAATAAAATTATTGGTTTTGTTTTTCAGATTCCTGGTAACTGGTAGCAATTTTGAAGAATTAAAAACCGATTTTCTAGTAGGAAGCCGTACTGTGTCTGCGCTCGTTAAAGAAACTTGTGAAGCTATTTGGGAAGTGTATCATCGCTTAGAAATGAAGCCACCATCATCAAAAGAACGTTGGACAGAAATTGCAGAAAATTTTCGTAAATATATCAACTTCCCCGACTGCGTAGGTGCAGTTGACGGGAAGCATATCCGGTCGATCTCCCCCTTGCACAGTGGGTCGGCTTTTTATAATTATAAACATTACCACTCTATTGTATTGATGGCAGTAGTAGATTCAGACTACCGCTTCATAGCTGTAGATGTAGGTGCCTATGGCAGAGACAGTGACAGCAATATTTTTGATAGTTGGGTTTTTTGGAAAAAATTAAAAGAAAATCGCCTTAATTTGCCAGAACCAAAACCTCTGCCAGGAAGTAATTGAACACCCCTACCGTATGTGTTTATAGGTGATGAGGCCTTTCCACTGAATAATAATTTTTTGAAACCTTATCCAAGATGTAACCTCAACAATCAACGCCGCAATTATCGACTGAGTCGATCTCGACGTATTGTAGAATGTGCTTTCGGTATTCTTTCAAACAAGTGGAGGATTTTTCATACTAACATGACAATTACATCAGATTATGCTGTACTTGTAACGAAGACGGCATGTGTATTGCATAATTTTGTACGCAAACGAGATGGTTATGATTTCAAAAATACGTTGACACATTACTTTGAGGATTTGCCATTCAATTCTCGACCACAATCCACAAACCGAGGCAGAACTATAAGAGATAACTTTGCTGAGTACTTCATGACACAGCCTGGAGAACTGTCATGTCAATACAGTGCAAGAATTATCAACCCACTGTGTTAATGTTATAATATAAATAATAATTACTAACAATATTATCCCACATTAAAATTCAACAATGAAATGATTATTACAATAGCTACTTTTGGCTTGTCTTGTTTTGCTTTAAAATAAATGAATATTAAAATACTTACATTTGTTTGATTTGTCGGCGCACGTTTCCCAATCATCATAAACTTCTTTACATATCTGCTCCCATGCGAGGTCCTTGATGTCTCTGTTACGGTAGTCTGCATGATTAATATCCCATATACAGGGATATTGTTCCACAGACATTATTAAATTTTGGGCCTCACACATTTTGTTCGCAAAATCGTAAGAACACGTCCATTCGACATAGTGCTAGCGCGGTTCTGAATAGAAATGTCCGTTCGTGTGCGGCGAACGATACAAAATGTATGTGAGCGCTGCGTTCGGGGCGACGCCATTAGGTTTTTTCCGTTCTGTCTGCCCGAACTCACGGGATGAATTCCGAAACGAAAGTCGGGTTTTTTCCGTTCGGAAATAGTAAGGACGTGTGCGCCGTGTTGAACATTTTGTATGTAAATGGAGCATTCAGGTTTCCGAATCTGAATTCCTGATTCGGAGACCTAATCAGGAAACCGAGCGTGTGTGGCCGCCCTAAGTGAATGCACATTGACAGATGTGACGTATCATAGACATAAAAATACTTTCCGTTTTACGGAAAATGTAAAAAAAATCAGAACTTTAGAAGCCATAAATGGCTTCGTATGCGATAAAGGGTTAATTTTCTAAAAAAAGAGTTTCTAAATGGAAATTTTTACTTGACCCAACACTATTATAAGCTTATCTAATCTTTATTTTGCGACTAAATTCCGGGTTTTTGAAAATACAAGTACAGTTTTTACAAAGATAATTTTAAGTATATTATGAAAAGAAAACGAAGAAATAGTGATGTGGAATCTTAGAACTAGTCTTTATTAACCAAACTACAAAAGATTTTATCCTGAAAAGTCCACTTATTACGAATTCAAAGTTTTTGTACATAGTGACAATAATGTGATATGTTGTGAAAGTGAAAACATAAATGTTGACACCCGCCGCTTAAAAGACTATTTAGAAAACCCAAAGAAGAGAACTAAGCTATTTTTGAGAAAGTGAAAACATAATGTATTAGAACTACAATAGATAATATTTATTGAGGATCCCGATAACTAAACGAAGACGTGACTCAAAGGACTTATATCCAAACCAAAAGTCATAAAAAAAAATTATTTGGCTATTTAAAAAAAAACTTAACTCTGTGGTGACAGGTTTGTGGTTAATGGTTGCCGTTTTTCTAACCTATACGGTTTGTGGTAATTTATTTTTAAATTGAAGAAGAAATTCGCATCCCTGTAACAGAACTCATTTAGAAATCGATATAAATCAGCACGATGAGTGATCCGGTGAATATGTCTCTTGGTAAGTAAAGTTAACGTTTTATCGATTGTGCAGCGACTGAAGCTTTCGCTCCATTCAGCTATTTTGGGATAAAGTTATCTGTTCTGGTTCAGAATATCGTCGTTTATTGGCTTGTAATAGGTTATTATAATATTACAAAATTAATATGTTAATGCGATTTAGTTATAAACATTTGTAACATATGTGAAGCTTCGAATTGCGTGGTACCTAATTTATGTGCGCATCATCAACGGAAATAGTACACAAACATATTTTATACAATTCTGTTTTAATTCCAAAACAATTCAGTTCTATTCTTTATTGAATTTACCATACTGTTACATACAATGGAAAATTGGCAAACTTATCCAAAGTATTATAAGCTTTCTGCAATTGGCGAGCATTATTGTTACTTTGCGCCACTGAGATACGAACCACTTTGGTACTTGGTAATATGAGTTGTTGAGAAGGAACATTTTCTGTCATGGAATTGTTCCTATCTACCTACTCGAGAAGTAGAGAGTTCCGGGGAGACTACGGGCACCTCGGTAAGACCAGACTACGGCGGGCGTCCGAGCCGAGCCCAGCCAGTGATATGCCTTCACAAGCTTCTCTGGCGGACCCGAACTTGTGTATGGACTCGACGGGTTTTGTGTTTAGCTGCATACAGATGAACACGTTCATCTGGCCGGTAGCATGTATCTGGGGCGTCCGCCCCGCTCGCATCTGGCGCGTCCGCCCCGCTCGCATCTGGCGCGTCTTAGTAGCCTGAGGCGAGTAGACGCGCGGGGCACTTGAGTTGCCCTTTAAGTCAGAAGCTATGTCTGGACATTGTCGCAGGACACTACTACCGAGATCTCCAGCTCTAGCCCGCAGTGCTAGTAGAGAATGAGCTAGACATCCTCCAGTTCCTTCAGCCGCGTAGGAATTTAGAAACTGGGGAGACGCAGTTTTTCGGCGTCGGGAAGCGAGCGTGCCTTACAGCTCCGTCACCAATGAGGAGATGATCACGGTTGACTCAACCGTGTAAAGGGCGAGAAAAATAGTTTCATTTCCTATGTGTAACAATCTCGAAAACCTAAGAACTCGATAGTTGACTTAGAGTCGATGGTTCAGTGGTGGCAGCCATTCGTTGAGCAGAGTGCAACAGGAAGTGCGCATACCTTCAGCTCCAGTACCTATCTGGAAAATAGGAAGGGAGCTTAACAAGCACCTGGGGCGGCTCACCTAAGGCACTACCCTTTTGAGAACTGGATGAAGCCCATACAAACAGGCTGATCTGGGGTTAGGACGTAACTTAGATGGTCCTTGTGGAGGGTCACTATAAACAAAACTTATGCAGAAAAAAATGGGGCTGTTATATTGAATGTGCTTAATTGTGAAGGCCAAAACTGCATACACAAACAACGACAAAAAATATTCTGAAATATTTTTATTATTATGGCTTGAATTTGCTTGTGTCTGTCACCAATGGGTTTTCTTTAGCTTTTATTTATTACTGTAGTACTAATTTATAACTGTCATAAAGTAACTAATTGTAACAAGTCCAACATAGATGTTAATTCTCAAATAGAGAGTTATAGTTCATCTGCTGACCCAAGTATGGATGCAACATATGATTTTGAGATCTTTTTCTGATGTGAAAAGTACCACACAATGCTTTGTTACAAAATCAAGTAGTTAAAAATACAAAATTTTTAAAAGTCATACCAGTTTTAAGAATTTCGTATATTTTTAACAACTTGATTTTGTAACATGTTTTCTATGTGGTAAATCTATTTTTATTATTATGTGGGTAGTAGTATTTAATAAGTTTATTAAATTTGAATGTGAAATATGTTTGTAACCATGTTTCATATATCGGGGATAGTGTCAGGGATAGTGCTATTACGTGTGTGTAACTAGCATTTGATTATGAGTCCATTTCGGTAATTTTGGTCGACAAATCAAATCCGCGTAAATGTCGTGGCAACCAAATTAGCGTTATTTTCGGGAATGTATTGTTATCAGACATTAGACAACATACATTGATGGTTACTGTGCAAAAATGAAAGTCTTAGCCAAATAACAAAGTAATAATGTTAAATCCCGCTCCTGTGAAATTTGGTTTGGTGCAGATACGCGTTTTTTCTAATACTACATATGCGGATTTGCACTATCCATGACAATATATAAATAGCATGCAAACGTCCTATGATAAAATGTTAATTGACTACTTACAGTAATAAATAAGTAAGGCAAAAGTTTAAATTTTACAAATTAAATAAGAATTGTAAAAAGTATAGTATGGATAATCTTTTATAATAATGCAAACTTATTGTTCCAAATATTCATTTAAACTGTAATACTTTTTATAATTAGTCAATTCATTGTAGAATTCAGTGGTCATTTTCATTTTACTATATTTCACTTGGTAGTTTATCATAAATTGTGATGCCTGCATAGTAGGAACTTTTTAAATACAATGTATTTTTATGGACATGCTTTAGAACATGTGTATTTGGGTTTCATTTCACACGTTTGTTTATTTCTATCATGTTTGAATAGATGTAGTTGTTGCTTGACATACTTACTGACAATACAATACATAATAAGTGGCATTTTATTTGTTTTTTGTTTTTATTTCTTTAATTAAACAAAAGCGGGCTTTACACAGACACTATCGTGCGTGATACAGCAATCGTGCGCGATTGAGCGCGCGGGTTAAGACTTTGGAAGGAATAGGGAATATCCGCACGATTGCGCTCATTAGTCGCGCATGCAAACGCGTAGTCTAACACGCGCCAGTTTCACGCGGTCTAACCTGCGCTATTAGCCTTTACACGGACGTTCTTTCCGTTGTTATAACAAAAATGAAAACAAGCAATAAAACAAGAAAGAGCTTAAAACATTTCAAACAGGTAATCGCGCACGATTGCGCGTGCAGATTTTCCCGTGCGCAATCTTGTACAACGCTCCTGATTACGCGCGCTAGAGTGATTGGGTTAGGGGCTAAATTTTTTTTTAATTGGTTGACTTTATAAATTGTACAATAAATAAAAAATAATAATGATGAAATTATTTTTATTACATATTTGTTATTTGATTTTTCTTTTTGTTTTATGTTTGTGTTTGGGTTTGGGTTGATTGGGTGGCAAGAACCTCTATTAAAATTTTACGAGCAAAAATGCTGCTGTGCAGTATGAAATGATGAACATTTATTATTTAACACAGCGTGTGTGGTCCGAGATAACATTTTATGCACTTGTATACATATCGACATAGTTTTCGCTACAATGATATTTATTCAATAATTCTGTTTATATAAATTTACTGACACAGATTTTGTGGTTATAAATGTTTCACATAAATTCCATTATTACTTGAATTACTGCTCGTATTTCTTACAAGCTAAAGTGATTGATTACCACGGATATTTGATTTGATAATTGATTTTGGTATGAGATTTCTTAACAGCAAAACTCCATATCTGAGATTATTGTTACTGTAACATTCATTTACTATATGGTATTGACTCTAATTACTTAGTCAACATTCAACACTTGGATTACAGATGAGATAATAGAGCAAAGCAAACAACAAAATCGAGCGAGTAGAACTCGAGGAAGAGGTGGCGGCGGAATTCGCGGCCGTGGCGGCCGAGGGCGGGGACGCGGCCGCGGCACTGGCGGTGGAGGCGGTCGCGGTGGTAGTCGCGGACGTAGCCAATCCCGCTCTGGCACGCCCAGCCCTGGTGCACAAGGACGGTCTCGTTCCCGCTCACGAGCGCGCTCTCAATCTCGTGCTCGCTCTCGCTCTCGTCAGGGATTCCGTTCAGCCTCCAGAGGTCGCTCGACCTCCAGATCCAGGTCCAGACTGCGTGGTTTGACGCCCAGAGGTAGAGCTGGGCTTGAGGAACAAATGGAAATGCCCCCTCTAATCAGAAATAATAGATTTAACAGAGGTAATTTACTGAATTTATTACTCTATTTTATTTTATTGAGGGACAAACAGTTATATGTATATGCAAAAAAATATGTTTAAAATTAACTTATAACTAAACCTACAGTCTCCTTAATATACTTAAAAAAAAATTACCGGCAAACTGCTACACTCGTATAACCGCAGACATATATCTAAATAGACACCTCAAGCACCGCGATCTGTATGAAAAGCAAGCGTGCCAAATTTTTTGTACCTCTGATGACTTGTGACAAGCGCTATTAGTTATGGGAAAACTCCTTCGGCACTAAAGCGATTGATTAAATCGAAGACGCAGACGCAACACGTGTTTAGAATAATGATTTTTCAAATATTTGATTATTAGAAGCCGTGAAATATCAATATAGTAAAATAATACCAGAATAAGATAATTAAGTCCTTTAATAATACGTGTTTCAACAAAACAAATTGCTCCGGACAACTAAAAAAATAACAAACTTTATACAATATTTTTATATCATCATTCGTGTTGAGAATTGTTATGCCTTTGTTACCTAAATCGATCAAAATCGAGAACTGTGTTGCATCAAATGAATATTACTAATCATATTTGACCAAAAACATGACGAAGCGGTCGTACTACGAAAATGAATGCACACAAAAGTATCGCTCGTTCGATATTAATGGCCTACTAAAGAAGGACCACAAGTGTACCGCACCAAGTAAAAGCCGCAACGTATTATGAACACGCGGCTTAAACTCGTTTGCTTATTTGTTTTCTCGAAATTAATTTAAAATGAAAAAAAAAAGCATTTTAATAGTACATTGTGTATTAAGGGCGGTAAATAAGGAATTAAGAAACGAGACTATTATAGTCCATTTGTTTAGGTACTTAACTAAATGTAAACAATCTTGACATGTCGATTTAATGAAATATACATTTAGAAAATGATTTTTACTTACCTTCACATACAAAACACAAATACTTAGCTTCATGTGAAATTGCATGCCTATTTTTATACGTATTGATTTGTTTTTTTAAGTATATGTTTCAATGAAAAGAAGTATTAAGATTGTTTACATTTAGGTAAGTACCTAAACAAATGGACTATAGAAGTCTGAAGTCGAAGACTGAGTCGAGATTCGTAATTCCCGTACCGCCCGTGTTACTTTATTACCTCGCAAATGTGATAAAAATATATGTAATAATATATATATGGTTTTCCATCACATTTGCGAGGTAATAAATACAAAGATATAATATAAGATATAAACATAACATTTATTTTTATTACGGATTTTGCAAATGGCGGGATTTTGTTTTTTTTTATTCTAAACAGATGACCTGTTAAAATAAAAATTCTTCCGCGAACTAAAGGGTGAATTTCACTTTCCCAATTTCAATGGCACTTTTTGAGTGATTTTTGTAAAACCCTTGGTGTTAAGGTCTTAAACGTACAAATAAGTTCAAGCAATGTCAATCATTATAAAATCACAGAAATATTTAAGTTACAACAAAAAACGATATTTTAGGTCACACGAATGAAATTGCAGTAAGACGAATGTTTTTCTCATAAACATAAATGCGAAAGACGGCACAGTAATGAGAAATTATTATTACAACACACATTTTATCGTTCACAAAAGAACATTTAACATGTAACTAATATTTTATAAGTTCTTGTATCAAAATCCTTCTCATCCGTGTAAGACCATCTATCTATCTATATGTAATTAATAAATAAATCTAAATAAGTATTTTGTAAAAGTCATAATATAAACTTTGTTGTACACACGCCAGCACATCAAGCTACACATTGACGTATCTTGTTCCGTTGCTATCGAGGCGATTTTCGTACAAAAATGTGTAGTCTGATGTGCCGTTCACTGTACATCAATATATCATCATGATCACCATCAACATTATCATCATGATCACCATTATCATCAGCACATTACCATTCACATCATCATCACAAGCATCGTCATCATCACTTCAATCATCATCGTCATCATCACCACCACCATCATCGTCATCATCACCACCACCATCATCGTCATCAACATCATCACCACCACTATCACCTTCTAATTGTTATATTTCAAGTAAATGTTTGGCTTAAAGTAACTATTTGACTTAAAAGTAGACAAGAATGAGAGCGACAATAATGATATTTGGATACATTTTTAATTGTCAAGTGTTTAAAATATGCTGGACCGTTATAAAAGTGCATGGATTTTAAAGTTCCCTTTGTCTAATTGATGTACAATAAAGTTTATAAAACTATTACTTAATACTTATTTAGAAATGTTTTGTTTTACATGAATGAGAACGATTTAGTCACTAGCGCTGAAATTGGTATGTAAGTCGATTTTTTTGCTAAAACGAAGATGCACAGGTTACTTCACTGTATACACTCCAATCCTATAGGAGCCCCCTCTCACGTGTGCGAAAGGTGAAGGTGATGCGGTATGAACTTTTGTTATTAGGAGGCTTTTAGTTGAATTGACACTAATGATAAGCAAAATTGAAACACACTTTGTATCCCCAAGAAAACGTGTTTGTGTATAATAAATTGGAAAGTTACGGTATGTATTCGACGTGTAAGTTATTAGAGTTTATCCTCGATGGGAAATATTGCGATTTCCACGAGTGCTTAATTTTTTTTCCGTTTCTTAAAATTAGGGCGACGTGGAACCGGCTCCCATGAATGAGAAATTGCCCACTTTATTAAGTTTTATTTATTACTGTGACGTAGTAAAGTAGTCATTTTATGTGTAACACAGACTAAGCAAACAAGCAATCATATTAAATAAATAATGCTTAGAATTCATGTAATAACATAAAAGTTATTGAAAGGGACACATTTTTGGAGGTTATCTGAAAACGATCTTAAAATGTTGTAAAAGGCAAAAACGCATACAGTCATGATGGTAACAATATAAAACAAATAATTTCAATATACTAAGAATGATGCAGAATTTGAAATAATGAAATTAATTTAACCATGTTTATTTTTTTATACTTCAAGCTTATGCGGAATACATTCAGATTACTACTTAGATTTATTTGAAAAACTTTTCTTTTTGCTTAATTTTGACTATGAGAAGTGCAGTGCAATTAAATTTAAAAAATACACCGTTACTACCACAAGGCGGTAATGTAATGAAAAAGCCCGTGCGCGTAATTTAGGACATTACAGTCGACTTTGCCTGCATGTTATGACGCTGTTTATGAGCAAGTGTGTTGAAATATAAATTATGGATACTCTGATTACAAAATTACATAACTGTGGAAAGAAATGTCTCTATTTATTTATCTTCTCACAGCTATGGTGTTTTTACAGTTTCTAATGGCACAATTTCCATTTTTCGCATTTTTGGATGTTTCACTACGATAACGGCCGGGCGCGTTCTGAAGTGTAGCAGCGGCAACTAAGCGTTTATAGCTTACATCGCGCACGTGAAGTAGGTACACTTGCGGCATCTATCTAGTCATAATGTCTGTGGGTACAACATATGTAGCACTACCCGTATCCTAAACAATGCACACGGGCAACTTGCTGCGTTACACGGCCAATGAAATTATTATAAAATTATTTTGGATTACATTTAAAATATTTTTTTCCCAGGTGGCCTATATAATGTACTTCGTCGTTCGAACTCGAATCCGAATCTACAAGGAAATGTGCACAGCCGACTCGGTGTAACTACTCGTAGAGGAGCAGCAAATATCCGCCGACCGCTAGCTATAGCAAAAAGAGGAATCTCAAAGCGGGGTCGAGGCTTTGCAACTGCTTATAGGTACAGCACAGTAGGACTGAGATCTGATCAAATTCTACAAGAGCAAAGACAGAACATGCGCATGCAAAACAATATGATCAAATCTCAAACTTTCAGACGCTCCAGGAACAACTCTTTCAGCTCAGCATCTCAGCTGACTGTAAGTGTAGCTAATGACTTCATCAGAAAACGTCGCAACAGCGTTGGTGGCACTGGGTATTTAAACCAACACAGTTTAGCGCAGTTCAATAACCAATACGGAGGTTACAATTTGCGCAGAGGACCTGGTAGCGTAAAATCAATGGGCTCCAATAGGTCTAACAGATCTAATCGTTCTAACAGGTCTAATAGATCTAACCGTTCAAATCGATCCAATTACAGTAATCGATCCAATAGGTCACGAGGGCGTGGAGGCAATAAAGGTATTGGTAGGAAGTTTGTCAACAAACAAATTTTGAACCCAAAACTGCAGAAAGAGATTGCCGCAATTCAGGGAAAGGCATATGGCGGCGGTGATACAGCAGCTACAGATACTCCCTCTGGAGTGAACTGCATACCAACTCCCAACGCTACCACGCTCACTTTGCATCAAAGATTTGCTAGTACATAGGTGGAATAATATAATCAATTGTGATTTTTGTTTGATTATTTAGACATTATAAAAACATTTTCATGTGAATTAATAGTGAACTTCGTTAAGAATTTCCTCGTTTGTTAAGTAAGATACAGAAGTAAATATTAAGTTAGTATTAATTTACGATTTGTTTTAGTTATAAGATTATTTCGCAAGGTACTTGTAAAGGTACAAATTTTGTAACACAAATATGCATGGAATAAGCATTGCATTTGTACTAGGGATGCAGCGATACGCATATCAGTCCGATACGATAATATTTTGAGTGAGTTGGTTACAACTCACAATGAGTTCAGAAACCAGGATATAGTAAAATAAAATAAAAAAGTGTCTTATTTTATCAATCAACTACAAATAATGTACTAAGTATACAGTTGTCAGGTAAAAATATTTAGAGCTTGAGAAAAAAAGACCTAGTGAAGATAAATGGAGTGACTAGCCATTATACTAAAATGTTGTCCCTATCAATAGTCAGCAGATTCACATTGTATGATGACAAATAGCCCTAGAAAAAAAAATTGCCAATCAGATATGGATTTTATGGAACAGTATAATTATAAATTGTAGTGGAAACAATTTTATTTAGCATGTTATGATTTGTGATCTCTGAAACCACTTCATTTAATTTTTCTAGAAACATTTTTTCGAGATCTTTACAACTTCCCTTCGCTTTTTTATATATTTTTGACTATTGCTACTGTGATTGTATCTCGTCAAGTACTTCAAGGAATCCACGTATGACGTAATAACAGCTTTGTCTTTTCCTTTTGAGGTAGGGTAACACAAAACTATCAGACGCGCTCGCACGCCTATTTCTTAACTTAGTATTATTATTAATAAAGACATATCGTACACGGAATGCCGATATCGGTTGCACCCCGAATTTGTACATTGCATTATGATGACTGTAACAAAATATGTCTCGGCGCTACATAGTAGTGACTTCACATTTATCTATGACCAGTTTTGACATCTTGATATTTTTACTTGTTTAGCTTTTGCAGTTACATGGTCAAGAGCACAAGAAGCTTGACAGACAATAAGAATAGCCTAAAGTGTCAAGCTAGATGGGCTCTTGGCTGTAATAAGTTCACTCTCTGAAGTGATGATAACTGTTATAACAAACATAGTTATTTGAGCCATTATTCATAAGCAATAAGTACTATTTTTGTTAAAAGTTCTCCAAATAAAATGTCTTCATTATAATCAGTTTATTTTAAATCTTTATACTCTTACAAATATAACTGAATATCTCTAACAATCTGTGCGCATTTCTTCGTCTTAACATAACAATATTGTTTCCGGTGATCATAAAACAAATTTAATTTTCTTTGGCAACAAGCGTAAAATTCATAAATACCTACTTTGATTGGTTTTTCTTGTGAACGTTTTAATTACTTTTTAGATAAGGCACTTTATTTTTGACATAATTTTCACAATCTTTGATTTACAAATATTTTCAAGGGCAATGATTGCAAAATAACAGTTATTTCATAATAAAACATACCTTGATTACTAACAATAATTATTGCAGTGCATTATTTTTATTTGACCACCACACTAAGCGACATACCCAAGGAAATTGTTGTTGTTTTTGGATGATTGCTTCTAATTAAATTCAAACTTGAACTATTTCATTCATTACAATTAATATCCTTTAAACCATATTCATCTTCACATTTGGTAAGTCATCGGCATCATTATCAGGGAGTCCGTGACTGAAAATAAAAAGAAATTATTGCCAAGTTAAGTGAGAATATGATATCAACAAACATGTTGAGATCAAAAACTTGTGTTAGTAAGACGATAATGTATAAAGAAATAAAGCAGTAAAATCTGATAGAGGGTGTTTAAGATGAAAGAATCAAATGACAGCATCAAAAATAGCTGAACGCCTAGAGATTTTCATCTTTACTAAAAAATGGTATCCACTAATTATTATAAATGCAAATAATTATGAAGTAAACCTACTTAAATTCATATATTATTACATAATGACAAATAAATAAATAAATAACGCACACACTCAACATAGCCCTGCACTAGGAAAACCCTATGTCGCCGGTGCCATGGACACACACATAGACAACCACAAATTACACCAAAACTCACAAGAGAAATAATTGTAGGCCATACAACTATTTCTCCCGCCCCGGGAATCGAACCTGGGACATCTGCATGGCAGTCTGGCATGGTAACCGTTCGGTCACGGAGGCAGTTAGTACAAATGAACTAGTATCAAAAAAAAAATTATGATCAAGGACTTTGACTGTGTTGTATAAGTACTATACAGTACAACACTGAAACAGTAAAATAATTTAGTATATCAACTGACAAAAGAAATGTGATCAACCAATGTCCTGCCCTCTAAATTATTATGTATTTATAGTAAGGTGCATTTACATCGTGTAAAATTCAGAACACAATTGCACCGACTGTGATTTATTAATATATGGTGCAAATTTGTTTTATAAGCAATATGCATGCGTTAGCGCCTTTCTAACGCCTATCAGTCAAAAGCGTTGGTGATTTGTTATGAAAAGGACAAAACCAATAAAACTGAAGTCTGAGTTTCTTAAAAACTATGGTATGAGAACTATTCACAATGGTTGTTTTAGGCCCTTAATAGATTCTTAGATTTTGCAAGATCAAGAAAGTAAACAACCCCTAAACACTTCTACACAGAATGCATGTATGAACTAAAGAAGAAATAAGACACTCTCATTTCTAGGGATTCTCACCGATCCCCATCTTTCACATCTTTTGCTTTTGCTTTTTTAAGTCGAGTCTCAGGAGCTGAAAGCAAAGGTGTCCCAATTCATACAAAAAAGATAAGAGAGATTTCAAGGCTTAAATACTTTACTTTTATATACCACTTGAGTTTAGTGATGGAATAACTGCACAAATATTGTGTCTTCTTATATATTTTTAAGGTTGTCAACATAATAAAGTTCACGTAATACTTAGTCACCTTAAAACTTTTCATGTAAAAATAGAAATTTATTATTGCACCAGTTACTTTAAAAAAAAATTGGTTTCTATTAAAAATTTGTGACAAAGGTAGTCTAAAACCTAACTTACAATTTTCTCCAAGCACATTGCCTAGAATTATACCATGAAAGGATTTGGGTTGGTCGTTATTGGCTCCTTTGTCAGGGACACTTTCAAATGTCCATCCAAGATGGTGTCCGCAATGTGGACATGAGCATATTCGCCATGTATATTCAGGGAACCAGGAATCCGCTCTTTGTGGCTGAGAAAAATATGATAGGTTTCACTTAGCAATTTTGTGTTTGTAGTACAGTCACATATGGCTTTTGATAATAATTAAATAATGAATGACTTGATTGAATAAAAGATGACTGTTATAATTTATAGCATAAGTTATTTTCAACTACAAATTGGTGTTATGGTTAAATTTGATTCTAAAAATTTAGTAGATATTTAAAAAGTTTATTTATTACACTCTTATAAATTAAAAATTATTTTAATCACCACTAACACGATATCTTGAGTGATTTCATAACGAACATTTGGGAGGGTGGCCTTCCTTAGGTAGGTATACATTTTTCATGGTTTTTTTTCTACATGTGAAATGAAACCTACCTATGAAAATAACTGAATATCCAATATCTTCTAAACAAAGGAGTGACTAATTCTAAAATTTCGCGACTAGAACTGACTAATTCACGACTTTTTCTGGGTGCAATCAGATAAGCTAGGAGCTGTGGTTCTCGAGATCCAAAAATGGTGCCGCCGGAAGAAGCTTATTCCAGCGTGAACAGTAAAACACCTTAATAAGTGCAAAACGGCTTAACGACTAAATCTAGTTTTTTGCGACTAGAACTGGCTAAATAGCGACCATTTATCTGGCTAGCCAAATTTCAAAAACTCGACTATGGTCACGCTGGAATAAGTAGCGCAACACTTTTTTATTGGTCACTACAAAAAATTACATATTATTTTGTCATTTTAAATAGCGAAATTAAGTCATTACTAAACTAAAAAATAAACAAAACTCACAGGTCCTACGTTTTCGCATCTTGCCTTTTCAGCTGTAACAATGTCAAAGGTGATACCAAAAGGATTAATTAATGTCTGCACAGTGATATTCTTTCTACCAAACAGATGCTGCTTCTCTACTTTCTCTGCTCCAGGACTCGATACACTAAATAGGTAAGACGAGTCGGCCACGTCGGCGCCGCATTTGCGGCATAATAATAATTCTACAAATAAATAAACACCACTGTAAACATTATAAGAACACTTGATGTTTACAAGTTAAAAAGTAATTTTATTGAACACTCACCTTGCCCATTGGAATCCGTTTTATCTATAGCATCAGCTGACGTGTATAAGTTCTGCAAGGAACACAAGATCAATAAAATAAATAAAGAATAAATCATGCCTTGTTGATAAACAATTTCTTTAGGTTACAAGTTTAATTTTTCAGGGGGAATTAGTGTTTTTTTTACGGATTCAAATTTATTAAAATAACTAGTTCTTGACAAAAATATTTTAAATAAGTGCGGGTCGAAACGGGCCAGCAAAAATGCAATGTTATGATTCAATATCCGTCGCCTAAGATTTGCATAATACTGCAAATATTTTTTTTAATGGTTTTGCACGGCTCTGGGTACTTTGTCCTTTGAGCCAATCGTCAAATGCAAACTTTTGTTGTCAACAGTGTTGCCAACAACCCTGGGTCTTAATCGCTATTTTTCACAATCTTAGTAACTTAATGTAGCCGAATTTTAGCTGTGGTAGACGAAAGTAATCTAAACACCAAATTAAAAACAGCAATAAATAAAATAAAATTGTAGTTTAAAGTAAGTCAATGGTTTAAATCAATCATTTATTCAAATGAAATCTAAGTAGTATCACATAAAAGTAAATAAATTGGCATAATGGGGTAAATAACTTTGCTCCCTGCGGATGTCAACACTGTAGAGCGTTCGGTTTTGACAGCTATTGTCAGCGTTTTATAAACAAACCAAGTCTAGGGTCGTATACTAGAACTCTACTCAATGCTCAAGTCAGGACTTGAGTATGATTTCAAGCACTGGAAATCATACTCAAGTCCTTGCCATTAGGGTCGTATTTCCAGTGCTTGAGCACAATTCTGGAATACGACCTTAAGGGTCGTATTCCAGAACTCTAAGTTGGAGTTGGTGGTGGTTAGAAGATGTGGAAAGCTTAAGCTTGTTTAATTAACTCAGATAAACACAAATAAATAGATTTGTAAAGTACTTCGAGTTTTGCTTTTATTGACAGATTTCAAACATAACAAAACAAACACGTTCTAGTTCTCATAGTAACCCCTTTTTTTAACATCTCCATGCTCAATTAAATTGATTGAAACAGGAGGCCGTACGGCTTTGCAATCTATCTTATACAGACCACCATACCTTTGCCTTTTCCATGTTAAAACAATACCATTATTAACCTTCAATGAACATTTTGTCACCCTTGACTAAAATAGGCTTGTGGGATTTCTATCCTGTGAACTAAGCACTGAGAAAATGTTTTTGCTAATCTGGGGAACATACCAAACATCTCTTAAGAAAAGGTTTTCAATCTTATCTCTAGCATTGGCTTCAACATGAACTGTGCCTTTCCCAACAGCCTTTATCATGTTTCCGTCTGCCGTAGTTACTGTGTGAGTTTCACCAAAGTAGGTATTCAAAATCTTGGAATAGATCTCCTCGCATAGTGACATGATGTGTAGCACCATTGTCCACATACCAATCATCATAACCAGAATGTGTTGAATTCACCGTTAGTAACATCATATTAGAACTACCAGGTTTGTTTTCCTTCTCCTTGTTGCCACCCTTTGGGCAATCCTTTTCGAGATGACCAAGTTCTTTACAAATAAAACATTTATACTTCTTCTTTGTCGCTTGGTCTTTTTGATCATTCCGCTTAGCATCCTTTTTATTAACCTTCACATAAAGCGCAGTTTCATTTGACGCAACATCAACAACATTAGCGTTGAGCGCTTTTTCGTGTGCACACAATTGGCCCGTAATATTGTCTACTGTTCTATCATTCTTTGAGTTGGAGTTGATGGTGGTTAGAAGATGTGGAAAGCTTAAGCTTGTTTAATAAACCCAGGTAAACACAAATAAATAGATTTGTAAAGTACTTACAGTTTTGCTTTTATTGACAGATTTCAAACAAACAGGTTCAAGTTGTCATAGTAACCCCTTTTTTTTAACATCTCTCAACAGAGACCTATTTGTTCTGAAATCCTGGGTCTGGCAAGTGGTTTCGTGAAAATATCAGCCAGCTGATCTTCACTAGTCACCTTGTCGACGTTCAGATCACCACTACTTACCAGCTCTCTAACAAAAAAACGTCGCACACGGATATGTTTAGTACGACAGTGAAATTCAGTATTTTCTGCTAGCCTTATAGCAGCTTCGTTATCAACTTTTAAACACGGAATCTTCTTAAGATTAACAAGATCCTTTATTAGTCGAGACAGCCATATAGTTTCTCTAGCAGCTTCGCTAGCCGCTACAATTTCAGCCTCTGTAGTGGAAATTGAGACACGTGTCTGTCTTTGACTCAACCACGAGATGGCTCCTCCCGCATACATGCACAGCACCCCACTTGTGGTCTTTCAGTGCCGATATTTCCCGCACGATCAGCATCGCTGTAACATTCCAAAATGCCTTGTTTGTAATTTTTCTTATACTTGATACCTAGATCTGGTGTGTACTGCAAATACCGCATTATGTGCTTCAGTCGCACACAGTCTGCTTCTTCTGGTTTTTCCAAACTCCGTGATACTAACAGCATATGCAATGTCAGGTCTAGTGCATACCATTAAATATGCCAAGGCTCCAACGACTGATCTGTAATTATTTTTCATATAACTCATATCCACTCTCTCGTTTGACGTACTCTCTTTTACAATCGGCGTCGAGACCGGTTTACAAGTATCCATCCCAAATTTCCTCAAGATCTTCTGTACATAAGAAGTTTGATATATTTTGATTCCATCTCCTCTGCTCTCTATCTCTATTCCTAAGAAATAAGAGACAGGCTTTGTGGTTATCTTGAACCGACCATTGAGTTCCTTAATTAACTCGTCTAGCAGAACTTGACTTGATCCAGCGACCAGGCCATCATCCACGTACAAAGCCACGATCACTTTTCCGAACGCTGTTTTTTTTATCAAAAGACATGGATCTGCTTCACTCGTCTTAAAACCAATTTCATTGAAGAAGTCTGTAATACAACCGTTCCAGCATCGCGGTGTTTGCTTTAACCCATAAAGACTCTTCTGCAAAAGACAAACTCGACCCGAGCCTTCGTCATAGCCTTCCGGTTGTTTCATAAAAATGTCTTCATCCAGAGACCCATATAAGAAGGCAGTTGTAATATCAAACTGGAGCATCGCCATTCCTTCGCTAGCTGCTACACTCAGCACAGAGCGAACGGTTCCCATCTTAGTAACCGGGCTAAACGTCTGTTCGTAGTCAATGCCCTTTTTTTGGTGAAAACCTTTAATTACCAGTCTTGCCTTATATTTATCTACAGAGCCATCACCGCTCATTTTAACTCGAAATACCCACTTGCAGGGTATGGCTTTTCTTCCTTTCGGTAGGTTTACAAGCTTCCACGTATCATTTTCTTGTTAACCGACTTCAAAAAAGGAGGAGGTTCTCAATTCGACTGTATGTTCTTTTTTTCTTTTTTTTTGTATGTATGTTACGCGATGACACCGGTATTTGTGAACCGATTTTCATGATTCTTGAAAGGAAAGGGGGTACTTCCATACTGGTCCCATTTCATTTTGAAGAAAATCATCCACCTCGAAGGGTGGCCGTTCACGCATGAAGATTCATTTTCATAAATAGCGCCTAACATTAATTTAGGAGCAATTACTTTAATGGTTGAATTTGCTATTTCTCCAATTCAAGGCGTTTTTCTCTCAATATACTTTGAGTAGTGAGAACCGATTTTTATTATCTCCAGTGTCAAGTCCTGTATAGTGGCAAACTAACTTAGCCAATAGACGTAATTCCACGTACTTTTGAGGTCAGTTTTTTTAGTACTCTGTACTGAGTTAATTTCGCTGTCCATGGCTTCCTCCCATAGCTCCTTCTCCGGGCTTCTAATTGCATCTTTATGCGACGTTGGCTCGTTGTATCCCATTACAGAATTCATGATATAGTCTTTGAATCGATGTGGGGCACGTAATGAAGAGCGATCACGAAGTATCATCTGATCCGGGAATACGTCTACGTGATCTTGACTTAAAATACCTTCGTCTACGGCATTATCTTCACCAATGATATCACCTTCGTCATCGTTATCTTCATCAATGGTATCATCTTCGTTAACAATATCATTCCCCCGATTCAATAGACTTTTCTGGCAAAATGTTTTGAGCATCATGATATTCCTCATCGGCTTCCAAATTACTTTTACTATTTTTACTACTTCTTTTTTTAGTACTTTTATTTTATTAGCTGTAGAAAAACTTCTAGAGAGATACACCTCAACTTCATTTTCATTATTTATGGGTTCATTCATTGAAGTTCTTAAAGCTTTTTCATCGAATATAACGTCTCTAGACCTTACCAATGAATTTTTATTTGGGTTTCAAAGTCTATACCAATCATCATCGTTGTAGCCAATTAAAACGCAACGTGTAGCTTTCTTTTGTATTTTCTTTCTCCTCTGCTTTGGTACATGCGCAAAGCAAAGTGAACCAATTATCCTCAAGTGCTTTATCTGAAATTCTTCTTGTTAAGCCAAAGTTCATAAGGCAATTTATGTTCCACTGTAGTTGGCCCTGTCCTGTTTAGAATATGAACGGCAGTATTTACCATCTCAGCCCACAAATTTTGAGGTAACTCTTTATGCGCGTGCATCATTGCTCTAGCAGATTCGACTATTCGTTTTCCCTTTCGCTACACCCATTCTGTTCTGGCGTGTAAGGTATAATAAGCCTTTGCTTTATTCCATTTTGTTCAAGTAGATCTCGTACTCTCTTATTATTGTATTCTCCCCCATTATCACTTAAAAGCTCCTTGACAACGTGTCCAGCATTTTTAGCATTTATTTCAGCTTTTTATATACATCGGATTTATTTTTCAAGAAATACACATATCTGTATCGTGTAAACTCATCCTTAAATAATACGAAGTATCGATATCCAGAAATACTTGCAGGGAAGGGACCACAAACGTGACACACCGAGTGTACACAACAGAGTGTATACGTTCACCAGACTTGGTAGCTTTTTCGCGAACACCAAATGGTTGTCTATGTGCTTTTCCAAAGACATACCCTTCGCATAGTTCTCCATTATCTGACGTCTTTATTCCTAGTTCTACTGTCCTATCATTCTTTGACATTAACAGCCAGCTCGATTTAAATGAAAAGTAAGTATCCGGCAGCGTGTCCAGGATTTTACAGATAAGAAGAACTTCAGGTAGTTCCACCTTTTCTTCTTTTCGTAACTCCTCCTTCAGACTATGCCACAGATTCTTTAATTTCGATATATGAGTCGACATTACATCTGACGGATCCCTCTTAACTTTAAAGACTTCTAAACATAGATTGTAGAGTCGGCCCTCATTAAGTCCCTCATATAATCTATGAAGTTCGTCTCAAACTTCTTTTGGTGTAGACAATCTGATTACTTTATCAAGCGTCTCATCCGTCACATTGTTCGTTATCAAGAGTAAGGCTGTGCTCTCTAACTTCACAAAATCTCGATTTATCACAAAAAATAATTGAATATCAATTCAATAAAAATTTAATTAACACAGTGAATAGCGACATCTCTCGCCAGGACTGGTAGCTGTAAAGGTACTAACTGGGCGATAAATCTGTAATAGATTTCTCATAGATGGCGCTACGACTAAAAAGTCGTTGAAAGACCAAGTACAAAGACACGACGCAAGCACATAGAGAAATTCGTGAGGTCCGTTGGTTCGTTCCGTGGCTTAGTTGGTATAGCGTCTGCCACGGTATGCAAGAAGACGTCGGTTCGAATCCGACCGGATCGAATGAATTTTTTCTGAGCGTTTTTTCTGAGTGTTCGATCTTTGTATTAATAATTATAACAAACTAGTGGAGTAATTTCACAAAAAATAATTGAATATCAATTCAATAAAAATTTAATTAACACAGTGAATAGCCACATCTCTCGCCAGGACTGGTAGCTGTAAAGGTACTAACTGGGTGATAAATCTGTAATAGATTTCTCATAGATGGCGCTACGACTAAAAAGTCGTTGAAATACCAAGTACAAAGACACGACGCAAGCACATAGAGAGATTCGTGAGGTCCGTTGGTTCGTTCCGTGGCTTAGTTGGTATAGCGTCTGGCATGGTATGCAAGAAGACGTCGGTTCGAATCCGACCGGATCGAATGAATTTTTCTGAGTGTTCGATCTTTGTATTAATAATTATAACAATTTTTCTTTCTTAATGTCTCAGACTTTTTATATTTTCGTAGGGAGGTTATCTTTAATGTATGCTCATTTTTTATTCTTAAGATTGTAAACCGAAAGTAATAGGCGACCAGTCGCCTTTCAAATTTTTTCGTCGCTGATTTTCGTCCTGAGTAGCCTAAATGGTTTTTTTTCCATCTAAGCTAAACGGCGATAAATCGCCTACGTTGACCACACTGATTGTCAAATCCAAACGGCTGACCTTGACGTATGCTTGACGTTGTGTTAGGTGCCAGTATTGCCAATATTAAATAACAACATTGTAATAGTATATTCCAATAAATTACTCATAGATATTTTAAAACATTAAACTTACATGAGAAAATTACTGTTGGGTATTTTATCGAAAATTTCAAATGGCGGAAATTTTTCCGGAAAATGTCCCGAAAAATTAATACAATTTCAAAAACTCATATTGTGTTCTGTGTGGAAATATCATTTGAAGTTTACCTATACATGTTTTTCATTTTAGGATAATTCTATTACAAATTTAAAAAATTGATAAGACTTGCTTGTATCACAGTATTACAACATCTCCAAAACTGGTGCATAAATCTTTGTAAAAATTTGACGAATCCTAAAAAAATACACTGGTAAAATATGCAGTATACTAGTGGTATACTTGAGATTTGACATTTGTGTTTTGTGAGCTGTGTTTACCTTTTCGCAAAATAAAATTAGTCAAACAAAGTGTGATCACCAAATAAAATTTGAGTTTAGATACAGAACCAGTAGAACCTAGAAAAATCAATCATGTCATTCTTCAAAAATGTGGCGGCTGGACTCAACATGCGTAGTCGCGACACCATTCTCAAGGAATCGTTAATAAACAATTTGTCAGAATGCGTAAAAGATATTCAGTATCAAAACCAATTCGAAGAAAACTTCCATAGCGTACTCGGCTCGACCGACTCAACTAATACACTATGTGTAGCGCTGGAAGCAGTTTTTTTACACGGACTGAAGGACACGTTTTTGAAAAAAGCTAAAAATGTATTATCTGGCGACCCAGATCAAAGACCTCAACCCAATTTCTGGCCACTCGTGCTCGTTCTATCGCACAGACAGAACATAGACCAAATATCATCGTTGCCACAGATCAACACAGAGATAGGCCAGTGCAGAGCCTGGCTGCGTATTGCACTCAATGAATGTCTGCTGTCATCATACATGTCGACACTTCTTCGCAATATATCAGCTGTGAAACCATTCTACAGCAGAAGTGCTTTCGTTTGTGATACTGAAATTTTGGAAGTTGCACAGAAGTTGATTGAAGGTTTGGAGTCATGTGTCCAGTTTAACTTGCCTATCAATTCCAGCTTGTTGAACCAATGGCCAGAGCAGGTGTTGATGTTGGCTGGAATATGGGTACCTACTATGAGAGCTGCCCCAATAAGTGCTGGACTGGATGTCGCTAGCACTATTACTGATGAAGTGATCAAACCCAAGGTAGCATCAACACCAACTCACACTTCCAATATCACTGGTTTAGGTAGGATGCTGGCTCTGAATGAAGATGAAGCTTTAGACTTCATTTTATCTAAGGATGCAAAGCAAATCACTAGAGACCCTGAGCCGGAAAAGTGTGATGAAAGTAAAGATGACCTAAAGAAAGATAGTCCAAATACTTTTACAGATAATTTTGCAGCAGCTGCTGAAATGGAAAATTGTGCTTTGGATTTTGAGAAGCCTTCCACGAGCATAGATCCAAAGGATGAATATTTTTCTCCATCGTCATTGGATTCATCAGATTTTGTTGCTCCTGGTGATGTTGTAGTCACTGGAAATTCTTTGTGTGGAAAGGGTTGGTCTGCTGATAATAATGATGACCTTAATGCTTCTGTACATTCCAATTCATCACATGGTAGCAGCATGATTAAGACACCAGAACTCAAAAGCCTCTCATCTCTACCTGACACCACCAATCCATTTGGGGAAACTTATACAAACACACCTAATTTGAGAGACATCATGAAAGACATACACAAAGAACTAAAATTAAATGATGATTTTGAAGTGCCTGTTGTGAAAGTGGATACTGTAACTCCTGATGATCCTATGCTTCAAGGACTGGACTTTGAAGTAGTGCCTAACTCAACTAATGGTTCATTCACTGCTCAAGATTTACAAAAGATGAAACAACAACTAGGGAACTTGTCCAGAGAACAGGGTTTGGACCATCAGAACTATCAATGTAAAGGATGTCAAGACTTGCTAGGCAGTACAGTATCTAAAGCAAAAGTTTGTGGATATACTGGGGAATATTATTGTTCGAATTGTATGGATCCAAATGTCTTCATTATTCCAGCTAGAGTCATTCATAATTGGGATTTCAAAAGATACCCAGTCTCAAAAAAATCTGCTCTCTTTTTATTAGAATTTCAACATCAACCTTGGATAGATATGAAGAAGTTAAATCCTAAGATTTATTGTGGTGTTTCCGATATGGCTCATTTGCAGGAATTGAGGATACAGTTGAATTTTCTGAGAGCATACATTTTCACTTGTAGGGAGCCTGTTATTGAGGAATTACAAAAGAGAGTGTGGCCCAGGGAATATTTGTATGATCATGTGCACTTGTATACAATATCAGATTTAGCTCAGATTCCAAATAGTTCTTTGGCTCTGCAATTAGAGAAAGTAGTACATTTTGCAAGAACACATGTACTTGACTGCTGGCTGTGTAGTCAGAAAGGTTTTATCTGTGAAGTATGCAAAGATCCAAAGATCTTATATCCATTTGAGACAAGCACAACATATAGATGTGATGAATGCTCCAGTGTGTTTCATGCGAATTGTCTAAATGCTACCATGCCTTGCCCAAAATGTAAGAGGAAGCAAAATCGAACAAATGATTCATCTTTAGTGGATGCAATTCATTCTCATTTCAACATATGAACACTTGGAAAGTCCAGTACCCATAAAGCATTTTAAAAACTTTGTGTTCAATAAAAATGTAATTTGTGAAAATTGATTATAATGATATTAAGCACAATCAGGTAAAACAGACAATATTCCTTGTGAATTAATATGTCTAGTTGAGTAGAAATGGTATAAGGAATGAAGGAAGAATAGGATAAAGGAAGCATCTATGAAGAAAGTGATGATAGATAATTTAAATTAGACTACAACATATAGTCCAAGACTACTTCTCTATTATTGCAATTTAGTGCAACTTCAAAGTTGTAAACAAATTTAGATATTGCATTAGACAATAGATATCGTTTGTAAATTATTATTTTTTATCCAGTAATTATACATTGTAAATATAGTTTGTCAATAATGCAGTTTTGCCAGACGTCAATAATGAGGCATAATAGATTCAACTCTTAGTGTTTTGTTTGTAAACATTGAATGAAACCTGTTACAGTACTATGTTCTAGAGTCATAACTTTGGAGCAATTTGAGCCTTACAGATTGATGACTCTTTCTAATGTATAATTTGATCATTATTTTGTTATTGGCCTAAATAACTATCACTGCATTGAAAGACTTATAAAATTCATGTGTGCAGGACCATAAGCCATGGCAGTCTAATGGTTTGACCTACCCTACCGTCTCACAATCTGAGGCTTTGGGTTCATATAAAGACTCGCACCTCTAAGTTTCTCGGAATTTATGTGCGAAATTTAATTTTAAATTTATCATGAGCTTTTCAGTGAAGGTAAACATCGTGATAAAACCTGCACGCCAAAGAAGGTTCACAGCCTTCGGAAAACGTGAAACCCACATCCTGCATTGGCGGACTAAACCCTCACCTAAGAGGAGACCCATGCCGTGGGATGTATAAATGGGTTGATAAAGAATGATGATGATGTGAAGATCCATGTGATATTATCAATAAAACAACATGTTACACCTAGTTTAGTGTGTTGAGGTATACATGATTAAAATATATATATATATGATTAATGTATCCTTCGGTACAACTGGTCTACTTTGCCGATTGGTCTAGTTTAATGATGCGTCTACTCAGATAAGATAATCTCAGTTCAGAGTACTAAAAAAACCGACCTCAAAAGTTACATCTGTTTGCCAAGTTTTATTGAAATCGGTTACCGGAAAGAGCCCGAAACCGGATTCACCCCCTAGTTTGCCACTCTTAGGGGTGGAATATTTAATTCAAATTTAAAAGGAACCACTATTGATGTACAGAGGGTACCCGACAAAAAAAAAGTCATCAAAATCGGTTCACAAATGCTGAGTTATCGGGTACATACATAAAAAAAACACACAGTTGTATTGAGAACTTCCTCCTTTTTTTTAAAGTCGGTAAAAAACTGTCTGTGATCTTGTTTTTTCAAATCATGGTTAACGTAAAGCGGCCATCATTATCAAAAATATAAAAAATGTACTTCATGACAATCTGCAATTATGCAATTACAAACTGCCTTTGAAAATTTGCAAAATGGATTTTTTTGTTAAATTTTATTAAGTTACATGCTTAAAAGGTGGATCCTATGGACAAGTGGACCGATCGGGAAGTAGACCGATCTGGAAAGTAGACGAAATGGGAAATGGACGAATCGGGAAAAACAAGTGGAGGGATCGGGAATCTAGACGTATAGTGAAAATGGACCGGTCGGGAAAGTAGACGAATCGGGAAAGTGGACCATTTGGACAAGTGGACCGATCGGGAAAGTAGAATAATAGTTAAAGTGGACCGATTGAGAAAGTAAACCGATTGTACTGAAGGGGTATAATATACCTTCATTGTTTGCATGCCTAATGTTTGGACACTGTGAAACTACACTTAATTTTGTGACATGGTAACTTCTATGCCACCTACGTTATTCTTATCACAAAGAAATGAATTATGTTGTAGAAGTGTAATATGATGGTTTAGATATATTTTATGGATTTATAAGATGTTTTTGTAGGCAACATATACATGTCGCAATCAGAGCATTGTAACCATACTTAACGTAATCAATTAAACGTTTAAATATAGGTTGATATTTGAAGTGGCCATTTACCTGATTGTTTAAACGGTTTATTTTTTTAAATTCAGTTGCATATACCAGGTTTCCTAAAAAAAACTCTAGTGACTCCTAAGCATGTAACTTTCAAAAATAGCACTATATTGTTACAATGAGGTAGGCTGAAGGTATTTACGAGGATCTTAATATTACCAAAAATATGTTTGATGTTAGTTACGTTGTTAAACTAATATATAAGATTATACATTTAATATTATGCATAAATAAATAAATATAATTATCCTGCTATATTATTTCGAAACTGAAGGGTTCAAGAGTGCAAGGTCTGAGTTGTCTCTTGTTGTCGTACACATATTAGTACACTTAGGTTGAATTTATATTGCAGCGGCACAGAATGGAATGGAAGCGTCAATTACGCCACGCGGCGTGATTTTGGCTCGTACACAATTGCCCGTAAAGTTTATTACGCTATGTACAATATTGTTACGAAAATTCGCTATCATTCCGTTCCGCCGCAATATAAATTGAACCTTATCATCTTATGTTTTCATAAGTAAACACAAGTTTTGTATAAAATAATTTATTTCACTTGCTCTTATATACAAATGTGTTTGTGAGTTATGTACTTACAGTACTTTTGTAAACAAAATACGAATGTAGAAAACTAACGGGTTCTATTAAAATTTAGCAGATCACTTAAATAACTATCAGTATCTTTCTTATTTCTAGAGTTAATTTTTTCTCTAAAATCTCGCTTTGTATTTTTATCGTCGTCACTTATGGACAATTCATCAAAGCATTGGTCTAGTAGCTTGTCAGGATCTTCGGGTTTATTTTTCTTTTTCTTTGCTTGATAACTGAGAGCGTCTTTGTCGAAGTCCAAGGGAACGATTCCGAGATCGCCACTATACCGGTTCTTAGCGACTTGCAGGTATTTTTTGCCGCGTACCGCTGTTAGTCTTTTATCCTACATGACAATTAATAAATGTCATAAGAAGTTAACTCTATTAAAACTGTTCAATTAATATGGTTAATTACCTACCTGTATTATAAGGACGTTATCGGCTTCTTGCGACGCCTTGGCACTGCCGAATATTGAACTCGTCGATAAATCTTCCGAGTCTCGCTCCTGTAAAATATTATATTAACCGTCGATAGCTAGAACAGTCACTATAAAAAAATGAAAATTTGAAAAAAAAAAAAATTATGTTCTACTAAGTTGTTTATAGGAAAGATTAAGATCGCTAGCTAACGTTTTCGGTATATCCTTTGTACGCTTAGTTCATTATAGAGTGTACTATGATCGAAGTTTAGAAAGATGTTCCGTAGATACCCACCTTCCTGGGGTGCATAACAAGCGTGACATGGCAATGCCTCGCGGTGGCGAAGGTTCGAAATGCTGCAATGACGGCGTCCTGGCGTACATAGCGGTCGCCGTCACGCTCCTCGCCCAGACCGAGCATGAACTGCACGTTGTCCACGACTACGTGCGAAATGTCATGCATGTAACGCGCGTGCTCTACAGCCTATGAAGTTTATATGTAATGTAATATTATATATATATAATGCCAATCAGCTTGTTATTTGTTACATTATTTACAAATTATGAAATAATAATGAGATAATAATAATAAATTTATTTTCATTTCAATAATCTTGGTACAATGATAAGGTTAGAGTCCTCTAGTAAGTAAAATACACCTGTGTCAGCGGGCTCGGATATGTCAGAGACATTCACATTATTTTTGTTATTATTATTTCGTCTGCTTAAAGGTAAAACCACAAAGGTGACATTCCACAAATCCACAAAAAATCTCCAAATTATGTACCTGTTGTAAGAAAATCACCATCTTTCTGCAGATAAAACCACTTATTGAGTTTATAGATTTTTTGTTATTGAGTTTCACCTGCAGAACGATAGTGATTTTCTTACCATAGCTATATTGAAGACTTAGTAGAAATGTCATTTATGTAGTTTTACCTTTAAACAGATGATTTGTGAGTGAGTGATTCGAACCCATCACTCTTCTCAAGAAGCGGTAGGTTCACCGTTACGCTGCCAAAATAACAGAGTGTAATGCCTTATAATTATAAATCATAACAAATAAAGATAAATTGTTGCAACCTTATTTTTTTTAAAGTAATCCATTAACTATGTCGCTACAGTCTCAAGTTCTAAACGTATAATGGTAACATATTTACCACCAAAAGAAAACCTGTTGTTCCTTTTTTTAAAATTAAATTGCAATGGAAATACCCTCAATAACTGCTGCAATATTTTACAGAAAGGGCGTTGAACCTCTTTCTTTAGGGGATAATATAAATATTTTTCACTTGATGGGTTATGCACTGCGGTTTATACCTCCATTACAACTTTGATGGATTGCTGTCCGTGAAAAGCGAGGTAGTAAACAGGCAATTTCTGAAACTCGTTAGCGTATGTGTGAAAGTCCTGCAAGTTGTGTTCTAGTGGGACTCCCGCGAACTGCTGCAACATCGTTTTAGCTAATCGAGAGTTGCGGATCTCGAAACTGCCCCATAGTGTTGTAACCTAAAAGTAAGAATAACAATATTCTATGTTTACCAGTATGCTTTCAGCAATTCGCTGTGAATTCGAAAATAGTCAAGATGTTTTTCCACAAGGAAGACGAGGCGAGACATAAATTGAAATCTAGCTAGCCTCTTTCCACCAAAAATTGCTATTAATAGCAATTGCGAGCTCACGCTGAGGTTGTTATTACTAAAATAAAAATATTGAAATACCAATGGAGTAAATTACTTGTTCATAAATTAAAAAAAAAAAATTGCAGGGCACTGCAATTATTTGCAGTATTCGAGGTAAGTAGATTTAAAATTTAAAAAAGATTACTCTTTTTTAAATTTTAAATCTACGTACCTCGTACATCGTATGCACCACAATCTCCCAATTGATATTAATGACAATTGCGAGCTCGCGCGGGCCACTGTGCCCACGCGCGTTTCGAGTTTTTTACGTTGCAGCGTTTAACATATAATTATATATTATGGTAGGCAGTGTTGCAGCGAATCGTCTTGGTTCAATATTTAAAATACAAAATTTCAATTCTCGTCTCGCATATCCTCGTCAATCCAGACCATTTTTACCGAAGATGCGCTAGGAGTGAATCGAAATTTTGTCAAATAAATTTCAATCCTCGTCTCACCAGTGGGAAAACACCTTTAGGGTTTTTAATTTAGCATTTTAAACATTAACGCTGACGAAATGTTGAGTAAACACACATGAATGAGTTTTGTAGGCTTTTGGCATAAATAGTAGTAATTATGTGTGAATAAATGCTCTAAAATTATACGTACCCCTTGTTGTGCAAGGTCAAGTGACATCTCTGCACACAGTGTGGTTTTACCACACCCAGTAGGTCCCGTAAGCACTGTCAGTTCGCCTCGTCTATGCCCGCCTAGTATCTTTGTCAGCGATGGAAATCTTTTCCATTTCACCCCTCTGACCTGAGATGTGTATGGACATTGATTTATAAGATATTTGATATAATTTTTTGTAGAAATATTCTTATAGAATGTATAAAGAGCTGTCACAATACAACGTAACGTTTAAGTGGGGACTAAGGACACCATTAATTACGCGAAGTCCTTCAGACCAATCAGCCTCACATCTTTCTTTTTGAAAACATTAGAAAGGTTATGTGACAGAGACCTGAGGGATGGAGCGCTTAAGAACATACCACTACACGGAAACCAACATGCATACAGTCAAGGCAAATCCACTGAATCGGCCCTACATGCCGTTGTGGGCAAGATAGAAAAGACAAAGCAATCTGCCTAGGCACCTTTATCGACATTGAAGGAGCCTTCGACAAAACCAACTTCTCCAGCATACAATCAGCACTGAGGAGGCACGAAGTGGATGAAGTGCTCATCAGCTGGATTAGCAACATGCTAAAATTAAGAACAATAAAAACAACAGCAAATGAGACCCCATGGGCCATAGTAGCGAAGGGATCAAGGAGGGGTACTGTCGCCTCTGCTGTGGAACATGGTCGTAAATGACCTCATCATTAAACTGAACAAAGAACATTTTTATACAGTAGGATATGCTGATGACATAGCTATACTGATAACAGGAAATTATGCCAGTACACTCTGCGACATTACACAAGCTGCTCTCCGGATTGTGGAAAGATGGTGCAGGACATATAACTATCGGTAAACCCAACAAAGACGGAACTAGTAATGTTTACAAACAAAAGACTACCTACTACCCAAACTCTTCAGTACAGAACTACAGATATCAACCGAAGTCAAGTACTTGGGAGTAATACTGGACAACAAGTTGAATTGGAACAAGCTTCTGGACAACAAAATTAAAAAAGCCACTATCACCTTCTGGCAGTGCCATAGAATGGTAGGTAAACAATGGGGACTCTCACCCAAAATAACACTATGGCTCTACACAGCGGTGATAAGACCCATGATCAGTTACGGCGCGATAGTATGGTGGCCACGAACCAAACTGACGACCGCAACCAACAAGCTGGAAAAATTCCAAAGACTCGCTTGCATGGCAACGACCGGCTGCATGAGGACAACTCCGACTGCGGCCCTCGAAGCGATGCTGGACTTGCGACCCCTTCCAATGTTCATCAGACAGGAAGCGGCGTCAACAGCAGTGCGTCTAAACAGACCCGGCCTTTGTAAGCACACGACGACCCCACATACAGAAAGCCTTTATAAAACAGTCAATGAGGAACTGCTACTGGAGGCGGCTGTGGATGGGATCCCAAAACAATACATATTCGACGAAAAATACAAGATACAATGGTTTGAAGATCCAAATGAAGGACTGAACCCCAGAGAGGTCCGCGTCTTCACTGATGGATCTAAAACAAATTCAGGAACAGGTATATTATATATATATCTACACCACTTGGTGACCACAACACAGTATCCCAGGCTGAATGCATGGGCATCAAGTTGGCGGCAGAAGCAACCATAGCGAGAAGAGTAAACAACCACTCCATTCGAATACTCTCTGACAGTATGTCAGTACTTCAAGCACTGAACAGCTATGACATAAACTCAGGGCTCATTTATGAATGCCATCAAGCACTCATGGAGGTATGTATACAAAACCACTTAACTCTACAGTGGATTAAAGGACACAGCGGCTCACGTGGCAATGACGCAGCAGATGAACTAGCCAGAAAAGGGTCGGAGACGGACGCAGTAGGACCAGAACCCATAGTGTCCCTCCCCTACCAATGGTCCAGAACAACTATACACAAAGGTACAAAAACTTCACATAATAATACATGGACCACCCTAACGGTTTGTAGACAGGCGAGGGAAGCACTCCCAACGCTCAATGCTAGTCTATCACGAATATTAATTAAACTCAACAGGCAAGAGCTTCGCACTCTAACTGCCGCCCTAACAGGTCATGGTCCATACAATAAACACCTTTTCAATTTAGGTATCACAGACAGCCCTCTATGCAGAGCGTGCATGGAGGGGGAGGAAATGGCTGCGCACATCCTACTACAGTGCTCCGGCATGGCCAACTACAGGGCAAAGTACTTTGGAGTGCCAAGGTCGCTCCCCGAAGTCTTCAGCAAACCGAGGAGGCTGCTGAGATTCCTGGAGGAGCTTGGGTGGCACGAGTAGGACCCTGCACCCAGCACACGCAAAATAGGCGCATTGACGTCGCGTTGCGGACACCAGCCCGTTACACCAAGTACTAAGTAAGTAAGTACCATTAATTAAATCAGAACAACAGAACTGAATTGAGAGTTATTATATCAGTTTGTATTCATGATAGTTTTTAAAAGTATCTGGTAAGTTGATAGGTAACTGAAAAATACCATTTTATCTAACATATGTGGTACAGTTATAAATGTGAAATTTGTATGACTACTAAAACGTAACACAAAATGTAATGTGAATATTCTCTATTAACTAGTCATCACCTTTTCAATATTAGTAAGTTCCGCGTACACGTCATCTCTGAGAGCGGCAAAGGTGGTAATAGATCGATGTGCAGCTGGTTTGGCTTCGGACACGAGTGTTTTCAGTGACAGGTTAGCTGCAGCTGCTTCTGACGCCGTTACTAAACCATCTGTGGGTCTAAGTTTCAACTGATTGAATGTGAGAAATAACATTTGTTTTTCATTTAAAGTAACTTAATATGGTAATTATCTTCCTATAAAATAATGATATTTTTGAATTTTTTATTTTGATTTTTTTTATTCCAGTTCAGTGTACTTATTAGATACGACGCCACGATAGGAGCATAAGGACATATTTTGTCCTTGTGCTCCTACTGGTAGGAGCCGGTTTGAGGGAGGTACCAGCCTTGCCAATGGCGTCGTCCGCCATAATTTATATATTATTTTTACAAAACTACTGCACATAGTAATTTTAACTGGACATTGGCGAAATAAAAGATTATTTCGAGTGGGCCATAATATTTAAAACGAAAAAGAAGAACTTAATATGAGAGTTTTGGTAATATGTAGCAGATCTGAAGAAGATATTTCTGCTGAGATCTACCTTTTTTACGGGAATTCAGTTGTGAATAAACTATAAGAATACGCCTTATTTGTTCTATTGCACAAATAGGATAGTATTTATTTCTGCTAAGTTATTTATTACTAAAACAAATCGAAACTAAACCACTTTTCATTTAACCTAATTCCAATTTTTATACATACTTCGTACTAACAACTTAATAAAAGTTTTCTTATTTGTAAAATTAATTTAGCTAAAAACAAATAAAAAGATATAGGAATAGTAAAGCATACCTTACAAAGCGACAGCGTTCCTCCCCAAGTTTTTCAGCGGCAGCACGCATATTATCCCAGTCTCCCCAAAGACACAGTTTCTGGTAATTTTCTAGAGTTGGGAGTACCACTGGAGGGAGACTGCAGTTACTTAGCCACACTAGTGTGCCTGTAAATTATAAAAGATGTTAAATTGGTTTAGACAATAATGTATTTATGATTATATTTTGCACATTAACATCATATGTATTTGATAATCAATAAAAATTAGACATAAGGCCAGGACTGATACATATTTGACAATTACATGTACGCAACATTCGCTATGTACACCTAATATTTTGTGAAATTATTAGAAAAATAATTATCATCATGTATTGTTATTGCTAAGGAGAAAATGTATAGTTAGTACAAACCAGAAACTTTCTGTGCAGCCAAATTCAAAACGTCTTGAATACTTGGAACAAGAATGGCCTGGTCACTCCGGCCAACTTTCGGAGCTCTACAAGAGAACAGTCCTCCAGTATGGAGCCCAAAGTTCTCTATCTCATCTTCTTTGCCAGCTTGAATTTTACGATATCCTATGATGTGGTTAAGGGAGTTTTTTAATGGAAAGTATAATATTGTTCGGTCTGTTGATACTCTTACTTCGGAAAGGGCTTTGCTTGCTTCTGTATTGAACTGAAAAAAAATTGTTTAGGCTCTTCAGGTGTGGAAAAAACTTAATTTGAAATGCGATCACAATATTATGAATCCAGTCCATAACTTTACATTCTTTTGTCGGTCATTCTTGATTGTGGTAGTCGGGGGAAAATTAAATTAATTAAGTAATTAATCTTCCTAATGAATAATAATATTAATGTGCCAGACAATCACACCAATTCATCATAATCATCATCATTGAGCCATACGAAGCCCACTGCTGGGCATAGGCCTCCCCCAACGATCTCCACGACGATCGGTCCTGCGCTGCCCGTATCCACCGGCTTCCCGCGACCTCCACCAGATCGTCCGTCCACCTGGTGGGGGGCCTACCCACTGAGCGTCGTCCGCGGTCGCCATTGAAGAACCTTTCCGCCCCAACGGCCAACGGGCATTGTGTTCAGGTATCCCAAGGTCTCAGCCATAAGAACTATATCATCGGCAAATTGAAGGTGTGTTAGGTACTCGCCATTGATGTTGATGCCAAGTCCTTTCCAGTCCAGAAGCTTGAAAATATCCTCCAACGCAGCAGTGAACATCTTTGGAGATATCACATCTCCCTGTCTCACCTTAACACCTCTATATACCTATAGTCTATTTGGCACCTTTGGAGAGACTGCAGCACCGCCCAGGTCTCGATCGAATCAAAGGCCTTCTCATAGTCCACAAACGCTAAGCAAAGTGGCCGGTTATACTCCTCGGTCTTCTGTATAACCTGCCGCAGCGTATGGATGTGTTCTATGGTACTAAAACCCTTTCGGAAACCGGCTTGTTCGGGAGGTTGGAAGTCGTCAAACCTGCGAGCGAGACGATTCGTGATAACTCTCGAAAACAACTTATAGATATGGCTCAGAAGCGAGATTGGCCGATAGTAGTGTTTTATCACCCTTTTTGAAGAACAGAACGACCTCGCCTCTGCCCCATGCCTTCGGCGTTTAACCTTCGACGATGACAGTATTGAAAAGCTTCTGGAGGACTTTAAGTATCGGCTTGCCACTCGCTCTCAGAAGTTCTGTAGTGATTCCATCATCGCCCGCCGCTTTGTTGTTCTTGAGTCGTTTGAGAGCCACACTAATCTCATACAGGCTGACGTCCGGGATATCTTCGGTATAATGTCGGGTAAGCTTGGCTCTGGGGTCTCTAACCTCGCTTTCAACAGGTGCTTTCGTGGAGTATAGCTGTCGATAGAAACTCTCTATCTCCCTCAGGATTTCAGGCTTAGATGAAATGATGCTACCGTCATCAGTCTTTAGCGTCGTCAGTTGGCTTTGCCCAAGAGAAAGATCTCTCGCGAACACCTTGGAGCCTTTGTTCCGCTCAATGGCATCTTTAATACGCTCTGTATTAAATTGGCGTATGTCCCTAGTCAAAGACTTCGATATCTGTCTATTTAGCCGCCTGTAGTGACTTGCATCCTCTGAGTTCTGTAGCCTCATTTCATTTCTATGTTCCATGAGTTGAAGTGTTTTGTCGGAGACTTTCTTTATTCTGGTACGGTGGGTTTTGAAAAACTTGGACCCAACCGTACGGACAGTGTCCACCACCATGTTGTTTAGATCGTCCACATCTATGCAGTTTTCGAGGGCTTCGAAGCGGTTTTGAAGTTCGAGCTGAAAGCTCTCGGGGTTTTGGAGTTGTGCAGGTATTGGTCGGAGCGTAGACTCTATCAGTCGAGTTCTTTCCAGCCGGATATTGATATTCAATGTGCCTCGTACCAACCGGTGATCACTATCTGTTTTAACGGTGTTGATCACAGAGACATCATTGAATATATGCTTTTTCGTCGACATGATAAAGTCAATCTCATTTTTTATTTTGCCGTCCGGACTCATCCAGGTCCACTTACGAGTTGGAGATTTCCTGAAAAAGTTGTTCATCATATAGAGGTTCTCCTTTTCCATAAAATCAACCAACATCCGGCCTCTGGCGTTCCGTTGTCCAAGTCCAAATTGCCCTACTCTCAGTTCATCACCGCAACGCTTTCCCAACTTTGCATTGAAGTCCCCCATAACAATCGTGTAGTGGGTTTTATAGCTATGCATGGCTTTTGAGATCTCCTCATACATAGCCTCCACTTCGTCATCTGGGTGTGTCGAGGTCGGAGCATAAACCTGAATGACATTCAACGAATATCGTTTTGATATTCTGAGTATCACACCAATTGCCTGGTCGTAAACTAGGTAATTCCCCATTATCGGCATGTGACGATGCACAGCATCTGTGAGAGTGCATCTATTTCCGGTCTAGCAACATCCTGTCTATTACTTACTCCAATGTGCTTCCCTCACTGTAAATAGTAGCTCAACTGACTTACTTCCGATCGGCGCCATTTTCCAGGCACCTTAGGAGATACTGGCGCGAAGTGCATTGCGTCGTTATTTTTTGTTCGTACAACACCTATTTTTCTAACATTCGAAAATTTTCTCAGTTGTTAACGTACAAAGTATTTTTAGTGCGTATTCAAATAGTGCAAGTGTAACCAGTGAAAAGTGGTTAAAAATTAGTTAGGAGTTTAGCCTGTGCTGTAGTGCGCGCAAATATGAGTGATGGTGAATCAAACGCGTGTTCCGACCGTATGGAACCCGCAGACGTAGAATTATCAGTAACAGTATTATCCGTGGACAGTATTTTTTACAAAATAGCCGAATTATTTCAACCTCAACACACCTCAACAAAACCTCCAAATTTCACAAAACCAGTGAGGAGATTATGCAGATGGTTTGTGGTAAACGTGTCGAAAATATATCGAAAATCGCCGAGAGCGTATCCTAACAAAAATCTTCGCGAGGGTCAGCGTAAGATACCTCAGAGTTCCAGGCACCTCTTCGATGATGGCCAGTTGCGCACTTACATTCAAAATACGGGTGGAATGGGGAAATGGGTGCGCCCTTGGTTTTATGCAAGAAAGGAGACCAGTAAGCCAGGAATCCCTAGGAAACAGAACCAACCGGGCTCTTCACGGGACTCCGCTAACCCGCCTTTTGTCAAAGAGTTGATGATGGTAAACAAAATAAAAAAATTGCAGGACCCACAAAGCAGCCAGATCCAAAGAGTGGGAAGAAGCCTATAAGAGCAGCCACCCCAACAAGAAACGTTTCGATAAATGACTATCTACCATGTCAACCCAAGTTCTACGAAGGCTGCCTTCGAGCGTATCGGAGGCAGCGGCAGACGGTTCGGGCTCCGCAGGACCTTCTCAACATGATTACGAGTATGCGTCTGCCATTTACCTCCAGACCTGTGCTCGCGCGTCCAACGACCAGGGTTCTACGTCGCTTCGCGATACATCAATCGCCAGGTATGTCCCAACAACTACACAAACTTTTGGAACAAGGTGTATTGGAGATGCCAGACCGGCAGCGGCTGGGAACCAGTTTCTTCTCAACTATGTTCATGTCGAAGAAGAGCGACGGATCGTTCAGACCTGTTTTTAACCTGAAACGGCAGAACCAGGCGATAGTCCCAAAACCCTTCTAGTTCATCTTTCAGTTCCAGATACCTCACTTCCTGCAAAATAGATTGGATGGCGAAGCTTGACCTATCAGCAGCATACTTTCATGTGCCCATAGCCGAGACCCACAGACGGTTCCTCCGGCTGGTCTACGACGAGCAGGTCCTCCAAATGACTTGTTATCCCTTCGGTCTATCTTGCGCCCCGAAGAATTTCGCCGCTCTGACCAACTCGGTGGCTCAGTACCTTCGAGACAAGAGTATGCGAATTATAGTCTACTTAGACGACTTTTTGCTGGTAAACCTGTCTCGCGCTCTCCTCTCTCCTAGTCCAGACGACTATAGAGACTGTGATGAATCTAGGATGGACCATCAACTTCGAAAAGTCTGTGATCTAACCCAATTTGAAGCTGGAGTTTCTGGGGCTGAATGGGACACACACCGCAGCCTAAAAGGCCTCCTAGAGATTAAAGCGAATACAATAAAATCAATTTCGAACTCAATTTCGCCAACTTTGTTATCCCCAGAGGGAGTCTGCACTGTCGTCAACTGCAGCAGCATTCACGACTGTAACTTGAGGGAGTCCGAACACGGGTTGTGCAGATGGATGATCAGACAGTATCGAGCAGATGGACCCCCAGCCAGGTCAATGACATTGCAACCGAAAGCAGATGTTCGCCGTTATTGCATCGGTAGGCCATTTCAAATCCCGTCTTCAGGGAGGTCATGTGATTTTACAGTCCGACAATCGTACCGTAGTGGCATACATCCACAAACAAGGCGGAAGACGATCGCCGCCTCTTCTGAACATGACATACCGACTGATACATCTCCTAGACTGGTGGAAAGTAACGATGAGAGCAGAGTACCTCTCAGGCAAATACAACGATGTAGCAGACAGATTGTCTCGGGGGAGACGAGCGGCCGAGTGGCACCTAGTACGACCAGCAATGAAAGCAGCATTTCACAAGTTCGGAGTTCCTCAGATCGATCTGTTTGCAACCAAACAAACGAGAGTATGTTACGAAAGATTGCTCAGCGCAGTTTTGCAACGCCTTCAGCCGACAGTGGCAGTTTCAGCTGGCATGGGTGTTCCCACATCCGAGCCTGCTGCCGCGAGTGCTGAATCACTTGAACTTGGCAGAAGGAGTGTATCTGGTAGTGGCACCAACGTGGAAGAATGCATTTTGGTTGCCCGATCTTCGACAACGGGCGGTAGGCGAGCCGCTCAAGATTCAGAACTTGGCCAACGTCCTAATAGACCAGAGCACCGGCGTTCCACCTCCTCGGGTTCAGGACATGGAACTATATGTCTGGAAGATTGGGGGTGGGAGGACATCATAGGAACCTGGACCGAAGCAGAGCGAATTTTGCTCGATTCGACCTGGAGGAATTCCACGTTAAGGATTTATAAGCCTGCGTGGGCCAGATGGGCTAAATGGTGCAGAGACAATAATTTGGACCATAAACATCCCGAAGGTGTAGGCTTGTCTAGATTTTTAGCATACCTGTATCTTGAAGAGAGAAATCGGTTGTATTGTCATTCGGAAAATCATTAAACAGAGAAAATTTAAATTCTCATTTCTTAGTAAAACATACATTAAAAGCCATCTCCATTCAAAAACTGAGAGCTGAGAAAACACCTATCTGGGATCCGAGTGACCTGGTCTTTTGGCTACAAGGTAATTCGCCGGCTAATGACACATTGTTCGAGGTTTCACGCAGATTAGCGTGCTTGTTGCTTTTAGCGTCGGGCCAACGCATACAAGACCTCACCTTGTTGAAAATTTCCACGAGTCACTATACTGATGCGAATGCGTCATTCTGAACCCAGCTTTTGGTTCGAACAGTACAGTCGTACAGACAGTCAGGTTGGAAATTATTTAAACATAATGTTATTAATATCTGTCCCGTATTTTGGTTAAAGAAGGTCATAGAACTTGGTGCACAGAGACCCTACTGGGAATCAAACCCAGGATCTTCTTATCCAGCACCCAGAGTGCAAACTGCAGGGTGACCAAGGTCTGCTTTTGATTTATTACTATCCATATAAAATAGCAAATTATGATTAGGTAAGGTCTAAGGTACTTACAGGGTATTCAAATAATCTTAACAATTCTAACACTTCAGTCTCACTAAGCTTATCTATTGAGGTAGTTGAATCCATAATCACTTGCCAGTCTTTATCAAATTGTGCAGTACATTTTCGTGAATTTTCTATCAAGTCTTTTAATGTTGGTTCTACTTTTGCTTTCTTGATTAGGCGTTCTAGAATACCCCAATCGCCATGGATGTTGCATTTTGGACATACAAAGTAACCTGGAAAAAATAATACAATAAAAAATATAGCAATACACTTCTGAAGCAAATTGAATGCACTTAAAAATAACACCAATTATTTTGAATATTGTTTCAGTAGCCGTAGTTTGTTGTGAAAGAGTTCGTCCAGGGAAGCACTGCCACCATACCTATTTCTGTCGCCAAGCAGTAATGTAAGCATTACAGCGTTCCAGTTTTGAAGGGTAAGGGTTTTGGTAAAATTACAGGCACATGGGACTTGTCAACTGGTGTCTCAAGGGTGAAAAAGGCGCAGTGCCCCTCAGAGTTTGCAAGTCTGAGTGACACTGCCACTGCTATGGGCGGACGTGTCGCTTATCGCCAGGCGCACGACTTGTTCGTCCCATGACGGGACGATACACAATAATATTTAAAAAAAATAAATAAGGTTAAGTTTCGCCTTCTTACCAACCTGTAGTTTTATTTACAAACAATTTCCCTTCAGCATTTTTCGGGTCTCCAGAACACATAACGCACCTTGTCGTGAGAGAAGTATACCCATCTTGTACCGCAAATCCTTTTTGCCTCAACAATTTTCGAATATCAGTCAATGTAATTTTTGGAATATCGTTAAGGCCCAAATGGTGTATTGTTAGTCGCGAGCACTCACAACTACGAACCTTTAAGAGAGATCTTAAAGAACTATATCTAATAGTCTTTACGGAAAGCAACATTTTTATTCAAGTATTAAATTTAATAAAGCAAAACAAAAACAACGCCATGGGATATAACCTAAAAATAAACCATAATAAAAACTTTTGACATTGACATGTAAACAAAGACTTTTTTTATATTTGATGACTTTGCCTTCGCGAGGCGAGAGGTACGGAATAACGCTTTTTATATAAGTAGAGCAGTGGACGATTTTCCGGAAAAATTAATTTCTACTATTAGAACTATCTTTTGAAGTTTTATGAATTGAAGCTAAAAGTCATTTAGAAAAGAGAAATCCTAAGGGTCGTATTCCAGAACTCTACGCAATGCTCAAGTCAGGGCTTGAATATGATTTCAAGTACTGGAAATACGATCCTAATGGCAAGGACTTGAGTATGATTTCAAGCTCTGGAAATACGACCCAAATGGCAGGGACTTGAGTCACTGTATCCGGATAAATATTTTCTTAATTTTTTCCATCCTATAATATGCTCAATATCTTATAATATGATAAATATGCTCAATAAATACATAATAATATTTTTTTATTATTATTTTATACATTGTTGTAATTAGGTTTATTCATCTGAGTAATATTAGTTTTACAGTTGTCCATTTTTTGTTATCTAGTACTAAGTGTGCCGCCTAGCCAATGCTCAATAAATTTAAAAAGAAAAAATTTGTACCTAGGGTTTTGGTAGTTTCTACACAAATTAATTTGATAGAATAATTTATAACTATATGTTACCGATAAAGCTGATAGCTCAGTCAATGTTCAATAAATAAATTTATAATAAACATCTGAGAAGAATCATGGCGGGTTTTTCACGAACTAATTTATATTTATATTAGGTTTTGAGTTTCTTAATTATTTGTAACCTTTTAAGTCGATGGTTCTAATGCTCAGTAAATAATAATCAGCAGCACGTCTATTTTTTATATTAGCATGTTTTATATATGGAATAACGTCGAAGCGTGTTGACAAAATTTCTAAGATACGTTTAGTGACGACGCATTGCCGATGCCCACTGACGACAGAGATCCAACCCTTATTTTTCAAAAAGAAAACACTGCTGTGATTTCTATGTTGGTGTATATTTTCAATAACAATATTTGCATAATAATAGTCTTATTATTATATCTAGGCACACCTAGGATCTTATACTTATTTAAATACAAAAAAATATTTATTAAAATCCTAATAAAATACCTATTACAAATACTGGATCTCAACTAATATACTGAAATGATTAAGAAATAGATACAGTTAAGAAAATATTACAACACGTATTGGTAAGAATTGAGAAAAAGCCTTCCTTTTAAGGAACAAAAAAAAATTAACTCATTGCCTAAAATATTGATACAAATGATTGGTAAACCTGTTCAGTTAAATCTAAATATATTAATTAAATATTACGTTTAACTAAACCACAGAAAAACACTTAAAAAAATAAAAACTTAAATATTTCCCTAGGAAATAATGTAGGGTAGTGCGCATAGACACACCTGTTACCGTCACTTATTAACACTATGCGTGCAAAGCCATTAATAAAAAGAAGATTCTGTGGCTAATAAGATAGATCTAACAAAAATTGTTTTTTAAAGTATGGAAAATAAAAGGAATGACAATTATGTTTGTATCTATCAAATTAGTTTCAAGAATCTGGAGCATTGCAAAATGAAGCGACGACATGCATAATTTCAAATAATTATTATTTTAAACTTTTGTATTCTTTCATTGTGTGACCTGCTGTACTACCCTATAGATGAGAAGAATGTTCTGTGTATTACAAATCCAACCAATAATGGTAGGTAGGAAGTGTAGTACTCACTCTGTTTGTTTTTAATGAATTAGTGTAACACACGCTTACTTATGTTGCACTCGCTACCCTAACCTATTACTTTCATTTCATGAGTTTGTAAAAAAATAGTTTGATTTAGTCATCTTTTGCCATAATAAATAGATCCGACACGTCACTATTAATTTGTAAGTTGCTAACACGCTTTTCATTAATAAGTTCTTGCAATTATTTCACCCACTTCCACTGGTTGTATTGACATCATTTAACGGTTATGTGTTCATAATTTTTAAAGCGTGTTTTTTGGTCAATTGGTTTGTCATAAACATATTTTTATTTGTCAGTTCGTATTATAAATATATTTTCATATAGTTCGAATCGTAAATATGTTTTATTCAGTTCGTTTAGCATTGACCGTGTTATTAGTCAGTTTGTGGATCCTCGGCTGATGCAGCTGGCATACGATTGGCGAGCGCGAGCCGCAGCCGGAATCGCAGAGACTAATAGGGCGGCTGGTACTGTTGTCTCTGTAGGTGCTGGACCAGGCCACCCTGCTGTTGTTGTTGCATGGCCAGCATTTGTTGCTGTCGCATGCGCTGCTGTTGAGTCATTTGCTGATATTGAGCGCTCTGTTGAGGTTGGATACCACGAGGGTACGGTGGCGCTGGTCCACCCATCCCGCCCATTGTTACGTTTGGAGCCTGTGAATTAGTGTAATATAGTCTTTACAGGGGGGCTTAAAATCTTAATTACTAATTTATTTTCAAACATACAAAGGAAAATTTCGAAAACATTATTCATTTTAATTTCATATGACAATGCGGGCTAACCTGCATATTATACTGTGGTCGCGCGTTTTGTCTCTGTTGGGCCATATAAGCAGCCTCTTGGCTTGTACGACCACCCATCATATTCTAGAAAAAGATAAGATCAACAATTTCGATTACCGCCATTGTTTAAACAATTGGCTATGCCCTCTTTAGCAGTGTGTATATTTTAATATTAAGTTTTACCTGTTGGAATGATTGTTGTCCAGGGAATCCTCCCATAGCGTTACCACCCTGCGGTCCCATTCCACCACCTTGACTGTTCATTCCGCCCATTGCCCCACCTTGCACCATTTGTCCCATCTGTCCCATGCCCTGCCCCATTTGTCCCATACCCTGACCCATCTGTCCCATGCCTTGTGGCATCTGACCCGTTTGTCCTACGCCCTGGTTCATTTGGCCAACGTTTTGGGCTATCGTGTTAACGCCTTGCCCCATGGGATTTACTTGTTGACTCATTTGGTTTACTTGTTGTCCCATACCCTGAAATTGATTAACGATTTAAAAAATGCTATAATCACCATAATCATTCCATAAAATGTTCACTCTCACGTTCCTCATTCTTTACCGTACGTACGTACCATTAAAGTCATACCTAGCCTAAGCCTACTAAGACGATGGGAATTCATAAGTCATCTGAAATACATAAATTAAAAAGCAAAATTAAAAAACCTGGTTCATCATCTGCTGTTGGCCACCTTGCAACATCTGTTGTCCATATCCGCCATACCCCTGCTGCATTCCGCCGTACTGTCCACCGAACATCTGCCCGCCCATGCCACCCATCTGGCCGGCGCTCATCTGAGTTGCTCCCATTTGACCAGCACCCATCTGCTGGGCTCCCATCTGGTTAGGGCCCATTGCACCAGGTCCCATTTGAACGCTGGTCATTTGGCCCATTGGTCCCATGCCGCTCATTGCACTCATTGGGTTCATTTGGCTGCAAGGGAATAACATTTTCAATTTTATTTTGTATCATTTCATTACGCATTACTGCTATATACTGTACTTAGCGGTGGCAACCGCTAGTTGTGCACACAACGGGAGGTGGGCGTCCCTATCTGGTCTACAGAGAGAGTGCTGCACGTGTACCCAGAGTCGCTCATACAAAGCATAGCTAGCCATTTGAGTTCCTGTGCGGGCTTGCTTGCGCAGTGCCCTTCCCGTATAACCAAAGGGAGGACATTTTAATCAAAACTTAGTATGGAACTGTACTTACAAGTACAGTTCAGTTTAGTAAATAACTGTAAAATCGCCACGTATGCAAAAATAATGTTATAATGTATATTTCAACATACGTGCTTTAGGATCGTTTACATAGTTTTAAAAATATAGGCGTCTGTTCTAGCTACACTTATTAATACAGGACTTCTTAGACGTTGTAAGTGATTTAATTTGGACGTAAATACACTTTGCAAATTACATATAGGTTTTGGTGGTGGAGGAGAATCTGGTATTATCATTTTCAGGACAATCGATGGGTAGACAAACGTGCATTACATTACTTACTTTGGTTGCATTTGACCCATTTGATTGGGCTGCATCTGTCGCATGCCTTGGCGCGGGAATGGCGGCCCTCGAGGGTGTGGGGCGCCGGGATAACCTCCACTTTGCTGCTATTATAACAATATCTCTCTATAAAATTGCTTTAAATTAAAAAAGAAACGGGAATGATTTTTGTTGTTTTGTATCTTTAAAATTGCTTGGCGATTTGTGGTACGTATTGTATTGTGGTGCTGTCGTATGAACTGTATTTTACAGTGCCACAGTTTATGTAAAGAAGAATTACTTGATCGATTTTTTTTCAGTCATAAAATGCTTTGTTAAAGTGGGTTTCAGGTATTAAACTTAATCTTTTGTATTTATTCTATACACTATTTAATACCTTACATAAGGTTCTTGTGGACAAAATTTTCGTCGACGTACCTGCATCTGTGACATCTGGTTAAATGGAAGTCGTTGCCGCAGCATGTTAGTGATGGCTTGCTTCGACTGCGTGTTGGCTGGGGGCGCAACACTGCGAGGGCTTACGCCAGCTGATGCATGACAAGATAAATTACACCAAAAATCCAATTCGATTTACCATTTTTGTTGTTGTTTTATGGTATGACGCTGACAATCGGTTGCGATTACAACTGTGATCCAACAAGCGAACGTAACAAAATATACTGATAAAATGTTAATATAGTCTAGGAATTCCCCGGTTGTTTTTTATACTTATCTATCCAATAACAACACGTAAGTAACACAGATTGAACACATAAGTTTGTATTTGTTATCGAATAATTTGAAATATGGTAGACAAATAGTAATAATCAATTTACTCACATTAATATATAATATAATAAGCAAAAAATATATATATTATAATAAGCACAATATATATATAATGAGTAATAAATATATATTATAATGAGTAAAAAATATATATTTTAATTATATCAAAATATGACGGGACGAACAAGTCATGCGTCCGGTGCTAAGCAACTCGCCTGCCTATAACAGATGCAGTGCGTCTCAGAGCTGTAGTCGCTAAGATCTAGGGGCAGTGACTTTTGCGTCATTCACTCTGAGACATAAAGTTGACAAATTTCAAATGCCTGTCGTTTGACCAGCATCTTTACTCTTCAAAATCGGATTACATAATAATCGTATAGATGCTTTGTACGTACCTGGTGGAGTGTAATAATTTTGTCCTGGTGGCGGGAACCACTGCTGCTGTTGCTGCATGAATTGCGGCTGCTGCGCCGGTGCAGGCGTTATGCCCGTAGGTCCGCCGTTCGTGCTCGGCACTGGCGGACCGCTCGTCTGAAGAACGCAAAGATAGATGTATGTGATAAGCTTATACTTTGACTCTTATTATATATTCGAGTGGCGGTAGTGAGACTGCTCAACTTTTGTCTTTTTCTGATACCACAATTAATATTCCAAAAAGCTTTCATATATTCTCTTGGTACATAAAGATTTTTCTTTATTTATTTATTTCATTCATACAGCTATTTTTACACGACCATCCCAATACAACAGTGTAGCATTTCATAACGTCACAATCACATGCCATAACATTATAATTAAAAATAATAATTATTGAAAATTAATAACAATGAATTAAGGCCAATTTATAATAAACTACGATAATTAATAATGTACAATGAAATTTTATGAATTATGTACAAAGCAAAACCAGTGTTGCCTAAATGAACTCGCTCTCAAAACAAGTTAAAATGTCTACTTCTTCAGCTACTCGATTTAGTGAGTAAATGGTGCGAGTAAGAGGCGCTATGTTGAGCAGATTTTCCTACCTCGCGGCACCGCCAGCAGTCATGGTGCACGTATACGATTGACAAGTTATATTCAGGGGGTCTACTCTCGTTCTCCGTCTGAGGTCTGTCCGAAAAAATAACTGTCAAATAAGTAATATTCGACCAAATTAAAAGACAACGTCAAGTATGAAGCTTCATCATCATGCGTCTTTTAATTTGGTCGAGTATTAGTTATTTGACAGTTATTTTTTCGGACGGATGTCGGACGGAGAATGAGACTAGACCCCCAGGTGCGGATTTTAGAGTATTAATTTCTTCTACCGACCATACCTACACGAAATGTACTAGCATAAGCATATCAAGGGCCAAAAGTTATTTTTTATCCGAAACCACTTGTAGCATAGCTTAGAAACTTGTGAAGAAACAAGGAAAACTTACTGGCGTAGTGGGCTTTGATTTCTTCATCTTCTTGCAAGATGACGATCGCGATCGACCCTTTCCAGCACTAGTGGGACTGCCGTCTAGGCTTCCATTGTCCTGCAAAGATTGTAGCACAACGCGATTGTGGCAAATTTGTAAAACTATAACAAACAAATAGATGTAATTTCATATAGATGTAATTTTGACAAATTTACCTGTTTACTCTCATTTGTTTCGAGATCTTCGGGAGGCAGTGGCAGAGATTCTAAGTAGTAGCTTAGCGGTTTCACTAAGCTGTGCGTGTGGTATTTGAGTAATCTGTAAAGATTAACACATGTTAGTATAGGATGACGTTTTTGGAACACAGAGAGTCAGACTGGAAACTGAACATTTTGACGTTTAGTTCTTATTTAAATTAACAATAGAAATAAGTGACAACATAATTTTCATATATTCATTTATATATAATATGTAACTTGTATACAAGGTTTAATCGTTGAGTATGCCCAGGCGATTATTCAATAAACATAAGAGATATAAAAAAGCTTTAAACTGATATCGAAAGTACGTTATTCATGAATAAATCGACATAATTATTTTTTTTAAACAACAAAATAAATCCATAAGTTTGACATTAAACGCTCCCATACATTTAGTATGACATTCGTAGAGGCTATTGTAGATAGCTTGTATACATATATCTATATATGAGTACATAAACAGCCACATGTACGCGCACGCGCGCACGTACACGCTCATGCACACATAGTAAATACAAATACGTTTGTAGGTACACAAGTTGTCCCTTATTTACACTGTTATATAAACCAGCTAAAGGAGATAAAACTTGACTTAGCAGATTCTGTTTTCAGATACAGGAACTTAGCGACCAAAAATCAACATAACAATAAAATTAATCAATATCTTATAGCAATCATATAATAAAGACAGTCGTGGTGCTAAATCCTGCAAGTCAATGTAGCACTATAATAACATACCTATGTGCATTCTCGTAAGTAAGGGGTTTCCTTTCAACCTTGGTGGCAGCAAACCAGGCCCAAGAGAGGGGAGCTGGGTTCCGCCCACCTTCCACTAGTTCCCAGCTTGATACTCGTTGCTTGTCCGTTAATCTGAGACCCTGCGTAACATTATAGTTTCACAAAACTAGCTCTTTGCGGGTTTTATTACACTTTAAATGAAGTATTTAAAAGATATCAATGTTTCACTTTCTCTAATACTCAAAAGTTTTTTTGTAATGTTACCTGTTTTTTGTCGCTATCGAAGCCTGTAATTTTGTTTCCTTTTTGGTCCACCAGGCACCCTAATGGTTCGCAAGCGATTACCTGTAATAGCAAAATACTTAGACAAACGAGTAGATTCTCATTTTCATAAAAAACTACCTAATTTATTCGGTTATGTAACGTATTACACGTTTAATAAAATACATGATTCGGGATTGTTGAGAATTTATACAGAATACGAGAACTTTTGGCTACACAAAAATCAAGTTTTTTTACCAAGACGATTTTTCTAAAAGACTACTAAGTCTTCTAGAAAAATCGACAAAAAGATAAACTTGACACGTATTTGGTAAATCTAAGTCGGAGCTCACTAAAAATGTAATTAATAAATAAACCAGTAAACTCTTTACAGATTAAATACGGAAAAACATGACATTTTTTTTTATACCAGAAAGCCAATTTCCCAAAAGTGTCAGTACCAACGAGAAGGACTAAAATGTACAAAATATTCGTAAACAAAACGAAATGAGAAATGACAAATACTAACTGTTATATGAACTAATCGTCGCCTTACTTTCTCAAACTCGTATCTTTAAGCCCAAAGTTACTGAAACGCAAAAAAATGGATTGTATATACAAATTTTGCTGGCTGATTTCACATCACATTTCCTTCATATTCACACACTGGCTTTTACCTATTCTTAAAGTAATGCATCCAAATTAGCACTCTTGATAAGAAATTTAAAATAAATAGAAAGTTTTGCCATCTCCTGAATAATCACTCTTTATAAGATACCAGTTTGAGAAAGTAAGGCATCGAAATGCTATTATTAAATAAAATAAAGTTTTTAGACGTTAAATCGGTCGCAAATCTACTTGACGCAGTGTTACAGTACCTCAATAATAGTATTCTTAGACAAAGGTAACAGTTGTCGCACACTCTGCACAGAAGGTCCATGACGATCGCCGATCTCCTTCTTCAACTTCTTCATCAGGTTTTGATAGTGTTTGCGATTGTTATCGTCGCCTCCGTCGGCGAGTGTCGAGTGGATCAAAGTGGCAAGCATGTCGATCAATGTCGTGAACAAATTGCTGCGACACAGACTATATTAATTTATGTAGATTTACCACCCGAAAGCCAAACCACTACACAGCAAGTCAACCACCAAAGTGAAGGTAGTCATTTAATGATATTTTTATTTGAGTTTTTGTTTCATGTCTTACAAAGAGATAGAGTAATCAAATTCTTTTGATAATGAGTTTTATACGTGGGCATTAATGCAACGTTTTGCAGATACGATGAGATCAATGGAAACCTCTTTTCTATTCTTACAAATAGGTATGTATTTGTAAATTTGTGACTGTAACAATAGTATAATAAGACAAGCAGAGTAACTCCATCCAAACGTAGCAGTGCGGCTTGTATGTGTACGTACGCACATTCGGATAATCTCGCGGTGCACTCGAGTTGCACAGCGCGGGTCATCCCATGCGCTATTAATTATAGTATTAAAGCGTACGCTAGGTGTTTAAATAAGGTTATTTAAACATTAGTTAGCTAGCCTAGCACTCTGTACGGAGATCCGTACAGAGTGATCCGTACAGAGTACTAAAAAACCGACCTCAAAGGTTCGTGGAATTACATCTACGTGCCAAGTTTTATTGAAATCGGTTACCGAAAAGTGCGCGAAACCGGATTCAACCCATAGTTTGCCACCCTTGGAGGTGGAATATTTTCTTAAAATTTAAATGGGACCACTATCGAGGTACCCTCTTTCATCAATTTTCATCATCTCCTCAATTCTCAATAATCAGAACCGGTACATAAATACCGGAGTTATCGCGTAACATACAGACAAAAAACATACAGTTAAATTGAGAAGCTTCTACTTTTTTTGAATTCGGTTAAAAATGACATCAAGACATGTATATTGTTGTGTTTGAGGTTGTTTGAATGAGAGTCACTATAATTCAGAATTGTTCAGCATTTCATTTCTATTTCACAATTATACTCTCATAATAGATACTAATCTGCGATGTTGGTATAGGAATACTCATATATGTATAAGTACAGCAGTTGACAAAGGGTATTTCAATATAGCACGAAAATACAATGATGAACACCCTATTTTTTTTTTTCAAATTATGTTCAACTAAAGTAATAATGTGACAACCCTATGCTCTGAACGACGTTTAGGACGACGCTTGGGACGACGTTAGTAACGCGCCAAATAGGCGGGGGTTGCTTCGTCTTATTATAACTATGCTACAACTCCCTGGCGTAACAGTATCAGTAACTTACGAAGGGTACAGAACGTCAATTACCTTTCTTGACCTCGTATTGCTCCATCTCTCTTGGAGACATTAATTTCGGATAATTAAATGACAGTGACAATCACAATGAATTCTGCTCCCATAGAAATGACTTGCTGTGTAGTTCATGAATACTTAATGATAAAAATGCATCTGCAAATATGTGATGCAAAGCCCAACACCGCGAATAATGTTTTGCGTGTGACTATTTTTAACATATGGTTATTTGAAACGACTTGCTGCCATACACACAAAAATGATATTTTGAATTGTATTAGATTTTGCCGTGGTGACTCAGCCGTTTAGCATTCTAAGCAGTACTTCAGAGATAACGAAAACGGGGGTGAAACGTTGAAAAAAAAGGGCGTTACGGCACTCCTTTATATAATTTCCAACCATGGTTTGAACACATGCCTTTTTGGCTCATGATCAAGGCGTAACAAAAGTACGTGGACCTCCAAAAATTTTGGGTCTTTAAATAAGCTCTTTAATAAATTAAGAAATTCGACTTTATTTTGATTTGTAATAAGAGTACTTTGGCCAAAACCCTCATTTACGAACCACGATTCGTGGACCCTCGCGAAAGCCCTTAAGAATATTTGCTAATCGTAACCATCTATTGTTACGGTACAAATAAAAACATAATGCATTTACAAAGATCAGCATCCTAACACAGTCCAAAAGGCGACTAACCATTCACCACTCATAGTTACCTATTATTATAAGCATCAACAACTTGATGGGCCACCAGTTGTGTCAATAGTACAGCCCAATCTGAAATTAGTTGATAAGATCTTCGTATGGCGTCGAACATGCCGCCAGCGAGTGAAAAACGGAGTTGTAAAGCTTCCGGGGCGACCTCGTCTTGCCATGAGTCGCTGCACGTTGACCGTTCATGGTCGCGTGTGTGGGTTAAGTAGTGTTGCAGTTGAGCGTGGATTGAACTGAGCAGGCTTTCCTGTTTAAAGGATGGAATAAGGTTTGTAATTAAATATACTCAAATACAATAATAAGACTCATGAATGGCATCGAAACCGTTTATAACAGGCGAGTAATAATACATTAATGCTTGTAAAGTGCCGATTTAGCAATTTTTTGAATTTTATATTAAACGATGTACTGACAAATCAAGAATTTTGTTTGGAAAACATGCAAAGTGTGAACTGAGAGATTTTGAGAAACAACCATTTCAAAATTCCAAATTCCAGCGGAAAGGGTTGATTTTGATGTCATAATAATAATATACTTTTTATAACGGATTTAAAAGGACTGATTATCCATAGTCTGCCTCTGTGGTCGAACGGTTATCATGCCGGGCTGCCACGCAGAGGTCCCAGGTTCGATTCCCGGGCCGGGAGAAATATTTGTATGGCCTACATTTATTTCTCTAGTGAGTTTGGGTGTAATTTGTGGTTGTCTATGTGTGTGTCCATGGCACCCGCGAAACAGGGTTTCCCTAGTGCGGGGCTATGTTGAGTGTTTTTTATTATTAGTCATTATTAATCAGTTCGTAAATAAAATCTTAATTATGTTAGTACTTTAAATTATTCTAGTATCTTATCCTAATTCAAATATTTTCGAGAACCATTTCTTTGCTTTCTGATCCAATGCGCATAAAAAGGGCAATCAGGTTTATCCCTAACGACCTCCAGGATACCTACATACCACTGATGTAAAATGAGCACTGATGTAAAATGTGACTTACTTTTTGATCATCCTGGTGCCTAAGACATGTTAAGACGAGGGAGAGCAAAGGCTCGTTTGCGAGTCGGATGTTGTTGCCCCCTCCGCACCCGCATCCACCACCGCAGGAGCTACCGCTAACGCCGCGCTTGCCGCCACTGCCAGCGCCTGTCGACCTATTTAATGAAGAAAAAGTATTTAGTAGAAGAGTCAGTCCATATTCTTTGACATTAAATAATTAGATGTAAAAAGAAATTACACACATCAAAAGTGTCTAGGGATCAAGTGAATATTTTTGAAATAAAAATTATTTAAGCAATATTTACCAAATCCAGTCTTCCAGGACGACTTCTTACTTTAATGCTTATGTTTTATTTAACCGCTTACCCCTATATTTAATTAAAATAAACTAAAATTGATGTTTTTGCAAATTGTGGGAAAAAACTCAAATTAACGGCGTCAATTAAATGACAAAAAAATGTCGAAAATGATGATTTTGCTCATTTTTATTGTAAAGATAAGAAAATTAATAATCTGTATTTCCACCATTAACACGAATCACCCAATTACAGCGATTTGGCATGCTTAAGATGAGTTCATCAAAATCACTTTGAGGAATGGCCGTAACTGTGTTTTGTAACAAGTCAAAATATTGTTGTAGAGTATGTACGGTATGCATACTCGGCACAGCTCTTCTTTGAAGCATATACAATGCGTGCTCAATTGGATTGAGGTCTGGCGATTGAGCAGGCCACGGCAGAACGTTGATACGAGCTTCGGCAAGAATGCGTGTTACGACTCTAGCCGTGTGTGGACGTGCGTTGTCATGCATTAGTTGAAATGAATCACCCAACTGGCCTCGCAAAGGGATGATAACATCTGAAACAATCCTCTCTGCGTAAACTTGAGCATTGAGGTTACCCCTGATCCAAATGAGATCGGTTCTTCCGCCGATCCAAATACCGGCCCATATCATTATTGTTCCCCCACCATATGGATGAACTTCCTGACAATATCTCAAACGTTCATGACGTCCAGATGTTCTCCAAACTCGAGTACGTCTTGTATCCGGTCTCATACCGAAGCGGGATTCATCCGAAAAGCACACATAGCGCCAGTCTTCTTCCTCCCAGTTTCTGTGTTCGCGAGCCCATCGTAAACGGGTCCTGCGATTGCAGGGTGCAATAGGTGGAACTCTGAGCGGCCTTCGGGATCGCACACCCACTTCACGTAAACGATTTCGGATTGTTTGATCGCTTATTAGCAAGCCTGAGGAGCTGTGGAGCCTCGTAACCAACATCATGGCGGTCATGGTACGATTCCGTCGAGCAGTATTTTGGATATACCGGTCCTGTCTGCGAGTCGTGATGCGAGATTGTCCTCCATGTCGCTCGGCCACGCTGCCCGTCATGCGATAGCGTGTCCAGAGGCGACTTATGACGCTCTGTGTAGTGTTAAGAGTGAAAGCCACAGCACGTTGCCTGGAACCAGCTTCCAACATTCCGACGCACAGTGGATCCAAATTGAGAATTATGGGACATAGGAGTAACTTGTGGAGTATCGAGCTGATTTTTTTTTATGTGATAAATAATAATATTCCTAACCACTTTTATTCTTGTATAATTTCTTAAAAAGTTGATAGTTTCGGAGAAAAAAAATAATATTTTTTTTTTTGTATGAAGAAATATACATTTTATTTTTTTTCTCAAAATATACGAAAATGTAATGGGCGTGGGTTACTTACAGTATAGTTCCAATTATTTTCTATGTAGAAAAAAATAATTCATCTTCATGTACTTGCGGCTTTACAAGTAAGGGTGCGGTAAACTTGCTAACTTTTATATGTACTTTATGAGCTACTACTAAAAAATAATTTTCTTTAGTGTAATTTAGAGAGTTTTATAACCTTAACACGAAATTTAAGTAGAAACTAGTATATTGTGTTAAAAAATAAATAATATATCGAAAATTTTGCCGCCATTTTACTCGTAAAGCCGCAAGTACTTGAAGATGGATTATTTTTTTCTTGATCAAGGATGATTGAAACTATTACAGTTTAGTAACCCACGCCCATTACATTTTTGTATTTTTTGAGATAAAAAATAAAATGTATATTTCTTCATACAAAAAAGAATTTTGTTTTTTTCTCCAAAACTATCAACATTTCAAGGAATCATACAAGAACAAAAGTTGTCAGGAATTTTATTATTTATCAAATTAAAAAAAAATCAGCTCGATACTCCACAAGTTACTCCTATGTCCCATAATTCTCAATTTGGATCCACTGTGCGACGGCTCGCATCATCACTTCTCGGGTTAAATGATGTCGTCTCTCCATAATAATGTAAATTGTTTCGGTTCCGATGCAGATATTGTAATGATTTTGTCAAAACGCTATAACTCATTTTTATACAAAACCACATTGACAATCGATTTTCTTCTTATTATCGAATTTTAAACAATATTCCTTATTTAAATGTTAAAACTCACTAAAAAGTATCAATAGCGATACAAAAAAGTTAATATAATTAACCCTAATTGCAGCAATACTCTTAAACGTACTTGATCCCTAGACACTTTTGATGTGTGTATTTGAAGAGCGCCAGCCACAAAGGAATTTTTCTTTGTGTTCGGTCTTTGTATTAATAATTATAACAAACTAGAGTAAGTATCTAAACTTCATGATATTACAATTATTGAAGTAACATCTCTAGTAAGCTGCTGGTAGCTGTAAAGGTACCTGGTTGAGTTAAGTAAAAACTTTTATAGATCAAAAAAGATCAATAACAAGCACATAGATAAATTCGTAGGGCGTACTGGTTTGTTCCGTAGCTAAGTTGGGAGAGCGGTATAGTGAAAGCGCTGGTTACATTCCACCCGAATCGAGTGAATTTTTCTTTGTCGTCGATCTTTGTATTTAACAAAATCATTTGAAGTATACATTTGCTGCGTAAAGTATGACAAACGTATATGTAATTTAGAATAAGCGGCTACTATTTTATAAAAACTTGAGAATATCAATAAGTTACATCTGGATACAATATGTGCTTACCCTTTATAGCTAGGACTCTGATGGCTCTTGCAGTCGCGGTGCGAGCCTCCTCCGCCGCCGCTGCCGCTCGAGCAATTACCGCTACATCCGGAGCCCCAGCCAGTTTCTAAAATCTGTATTACCAAAACTCACGCTTACACAATTGAAATCAGACTAGACTTTTTAATTAATTAGTATTGCTACATAAAGGATAAATTCGACTCCTTCTACGTAAAGTATCGTATGTCGAAATTGCCAAGTTTTCAGAGGAGCATTTTAAAGTTCTGAATTCACTCGTTACTCACAGAGTGATCATCTAATAGATCATCATAGATCATCTAACCGATGTCTAGAATTTTATAATACTCTATGTGAGTAACGAGCTTTGCCGAATAAAACTGAGAAATGCTAAAGTCACGTATTATGCTTATTTCAGTGAATTCAGAAGTTTGAAACGCTTCCCTGTAAACGTGGCAATTTCGATATACGATACTTTACGTAGGAGGGGTCGAATTGTGAATTCACAATAATGCGTCATTACTGCCAGTTAATAACTATTTTTTGTTTGTACGATCTAAGTCGTAGGAATACGTCTACGAAAAATACATTACATTGGTCTCTCGTAACCCTTATTATTTGTAATAATCAAATGTCAGCTTCCCAAGCGGTTACAAGAATACATGCTATACTAACGTATTTTTTTATGATACCAAGTAGCGGGACGAAGAAGTCGTTCCTGGTGGTAAGCGACAGGCCTGTTCATAGCAGTTGCAGTGCCACTTAAGAGCTTTAAATTGCAAACAACTGAGGGGTACTGTACTGATGCTGCGCCCGTCACCCTGAGTCGTAAGTTTGCAAGTTCTATGTGCCTGTAATTTCACCAATACCCTTGCCCTTCAAAACCGGAACGCAGTAACGCTCACATTACTGTTTGACGGCAGAAATAGGTAAAGCGGCAGAACTTCCCTGGATGAACTCTTTCACAAGGAGCTGTACTTTTGCGCAGTCGCCAGCTAACTAACATTTTTATACTAATGTTAACTCATGGTCGAGGTGTTGAACTTACCTGTCCAGCCTGCTTTAAGACGCGTCCCTGTACAGCAGCGGGTAGTTTCGCCACGAGGGGCGCGACCAACCACACCGATTCAGACCATTTGCTCGTGCTCACTACTCCGCGATCAGTGCCCGTTCTGTACGTAAGGGTTTATTTTGCAGACTGATAGGTTACAAGATGCTACCAAATTGATGCCAATAGAAAGAAAAATGTTAATTCATAATATAGAAACTATAGAAAATAAATTTATAAAATAGATTACACAGTCAGGGTTATTTCAAATTACATTTTGTTTTAAGTTATGTTTAAGTACCTATCCTTATCAGGTGGCGGCGGTGCTGGTTGTTGGAAGACGTTGATGACGGCGCGTGCAACAGTGTCGAGCCAAGCGCTCAATTCCGCCGACCCGCTGGGAAATTGCTTGAACATCAGCTGCAGGTCCAACCACGACATGCGGAGAGACCATTGCTCGAGGTTCTGTGGAAATGATTCCTCTGTTCAAACCTCTGTTCTTAGTGGTAAACTTCATACTCGGGTATCTCTTATTTTATAGTGTTTTTTTTAATGGGACAGTATGGGGAAATCCTAAACCATAAAATACACCAGGAAACTGTCTTAGGAACCATTAAGTCTCTTTTTGTAAAAACAATTTTGGCTTAGGAAATGAAACTATTTTTCCAGATTTAAATAATTTTTTTAATGCTGATCGACTCAATTTCATGTAAGGATCATTTAATTGTATGGGACGAAAAAATCGGGACAGCAGAAGTTTGTCAAAAGAAGTTGTTAGTCAAATTTATTGAAATGTTTTTATTCAAAACCATTTCTATCATTTCTTTGTGTTACTTTTATTACTCTGTACTAAATAGGCCCCATGGTACGGTGACGTAAGCATCAAATTGCAACGACGAACCCAACAAAGGAAAACCTATTTCTATTACGAAACAACAGACAAATATGAGGATTACGTCCTTACCTTTAAAATAAATACTAATAAAAATAAAATACTTGGCTTAGGTGACTTACTTCTAGCAATCGAGTTATCATAGTCTTTTGATCTAGATCGGGTTGCGTATGACTGGCGGAGTCGGGGTAGCATATCATGTGTAGCAACCTTAAAAAAATAAACATCCTAAAGTTTTTTATTTTCAAATTATGAATTTTTGAAGCATTTCATATTTAGGAAACTTCTTATACCTTTGCGCCTGTCGTGGCGTGAGCATGGAGTCCAGTAGCATGTCAGGCTGGTAGAGTTCGTCAGGGTTCTGCAGGCATTTCTGCAGTACCCATTCTTCCGAACAGATCTCAGCTAGCACTCGTCGTGCAAGTGACGATAGCGACTGTGACGAATCTAGTAAGGTCGAACCGACGCCACCGCTGCCCCTGTTTTATTTACATTTATAAAATTATCATTTAGCAAATATCTTATAAAAGAAAGCAGACATTTACTCTATAAAGACGTGAGTGATTTAAGAGTCACCTTTTAACGTCGTTATTAGCAACATTGATTAGGACAGTTAGGGAGTTATTTAAACATACAACTTAATTGATAACTGTAAAAAATATCTTTTAACATTGTCATTTGTAAATTATCTAATAAATTGTTACACAAAGCATACAAAACATTAATATTGATTAAGTCGTATGTTTAAGAACCGAAAAGAAACTAATGTGCATCTTCATAGAGAAGACGTGGCAAACAACACATAGATGTTCGTACAAGGACAGTTACAGACAGACGATGTTAATCACGTAGTGTGGTGAGCCCCCGACATTGAAATGGTGATTTTTTTTAATTAGTACAAATATGATTTCTTGAAACACTGGGAATGAAGCAAACATTGACGCTAAGTTCCCATAGAGAAATAAGTCGACAATATTTCAAAATTCATCACGAAAACAAAAAAGGAAAAGGTATATAGTGCTATACTGCCCTCCTTGTCATAAACTACGCATTTACATTTTAGTAAATTACGAGATATTGGTATCTAAATAAAACTGAAACTAATAACATATACAAAAACCGATTAGAGGGGAACTACTACAGATCTTGTTTCACTGATATGTAGCGTTACGCTGTATTTCCGGATATGTTAATATATCAATTTCGCTAAAAATGTTGAATAAGTTATTTATGACCAGGACGGCAGATATAGCTTCCTCTACCTAAATACGTTTGCGATATTAAAGTAATATTTGACATCGTAAATTATAAATGTAAGACGTAAGATTTTAAATATCCAGTATTTGTGATTGCAGTGGCTAGCAATTTGGCTTTTGAAAAGTAGACTTTTGAAATGTTGTCATTAAAACCCAATATCGTTTATGATGGCAGATATGGAAGTAGCGGAACAGAAAGCAAAGCGAGTGACGTGTAAGGATGATAGGCTGCCCACAGAATTTGACTTGGCTTGCCGTGATTCAAATGCGTGTCTCTTGACTAATGTACTTTGAATTTTTCATAGATACTTTTGTAAGAAATTACTTTATATTAATTTTATTATTGTGGCCCTGTTTTGGCACAGATGCAGGCTCAAGTCCTGTCAAGTCGAATGGATTTTTATTGTGTTCGATCTTTGTATTAATAATTATAAAAAAGTAGTGGTAACAATGATATTCAATTAAAATCAACGTTACTTTATATTAATTTTCAATAAATAATTGTATCATATTTTTCTTCGGAAGACTTGCAAAGTTTTACTGTTTATCTATTACATATGATAAGAATCAGCGAAGATAGTAGATATTGGCGCTACGGTCTCAAATACATAAGTAAAAAGATAAAATTAAGTATTTTTACGTGTTACATGTACGAAACGGTGACCACCGTTCCCGTAAAGGGAAACGAATGAATGGATTTATAAGCGGTTTACATATCGTATTTAACGGAGAATTCTTCGCGATATTTTGTGTTGATCGGAGTGTAAGACATCGTGAGCAAGACCTACAGCTCTTTTAAAGTGAGTCGACACATTTATTGAGTTTTAATTATTTATAAGAACACATTTATGAACCACAGCAGACTCAGGTCAACGCAGCTTTGAACGACGACAGGGTTTGTGATCGGGACTGATGTGCCGTGTAACTCAATATCAAAAAAACAAACCTAGGAGTTCTATGGCCCCCACTCATCTCTGAGTCTACCATCCTAAGGATAAAAAATACTCGCTTCAGTAAAAATAAATTTATATCATTGCGGTATCAATTTTGTGGCATGTTTTACTCAAATACAAAGAAAAAGTGTGGTTATATATAAGGGTACGAATGAATGACGAACGTTACGCTATGCATAACTCGACTTCCGCGTTGTACAGCGATCTTTGTATTGTTTACAGTAAAAACATGAAACATAATTGACATCACTGTGTTGAATTGAATTTCTTCATTGTAGCTGTGGCAAGACGAAGCTTTATATTTTGTAAAACTATACACATCTAAACTGTCTAGGTTCCAAGCACGTTTTTTGAAAACTGAAAATCCGGTTTTTAATGAATTTTTTTAACACCGATGGATTTTTTGGTGAATTTTATAATTTGAATTTCAAAATGAAATTGACGGTAAAAAAATTCATTAAAACATCTGATTTTCAGTAATTAGCAAACACGTGTTTGATCCCTAAATACTTTTGATACACAACCCGTGGTATTGTTATAAAAGTAAGTATTTCTTGTATATTAAGTTATTTTACTATAGTAAATCAAAATGTCCTAATACACATAAGCTACAAAGAGAATTGACATTTGAACTGACGGTTCTAATTACCTATAATTACGTAATATATATTTGTCAGAGGGTAAAATAATTCAGTTTATAGGAAACTATTTTTGCTCTATGTTTGCCGGTTATAAACAAAGGCACCTCTATCTCTTTATGTGGGTGTCGTAGTTATGCTTTTACTAGACCAACACCTGCTGCCTCTTCTAAACATCTATATGGAATGATATCATTTGTGGTAAAGTTAAATTTAATCTTTATTGTTAAGAGAGACCTGATGCGTAGTTACTGTAAAGTTGAAAACGTTAATTTGTAAATGAAGTAACAGCGCGTCACGGCCCTTCCAGTCTGAATGGATCCTCTCTGCGATCGCTAAACCCCATGTGAAACTAACCAATGATACCTATAACCTATGCCATGTAAACTTATGCCTTTCACCAATGTTGGTGTCAAAATGTGACATAAGCAAATAACATATATATACTAACGACATAAGTTCCAGCTGAGCATCGGTGGGCACGGTGTCGCTGGTGCCGAGTATATGTGACAGCTCGCAGGACTTCTTGCCGCCGGGTTTACCGCCATCACGTGCGGTTGAATCTCCCACCACTGATGAAGCAATTTATTAAAATTAAATTTAAAAAAAGAAAATATGATCTTTTACATATGCATTTGGATTAATGAAAGTTTGGATAGACTAATTGAAAAAACTATATATTGTGGGTTAGATTTCCTATACGTCTTCTATTTATGTACATGTTGGAATGTTGAATCTATATTTTATGCGAATCAAATTATTTTAGGGTGATACTGAGTATAAAGTAAAGTCATACTGAGAATAGCTTTTAACGTAGCCAGCACAGGTCCCACGCCGATGTTCTTGTGAGCAGCAGCGAGCAAATGCCTGTCGCAGGACAAACGCACGCCAGCTGCAGTACCGCCGGGGCCAGGGGAGGTTGATACACTGTATAAACCTGATATAAAGGTAGTTTATGCTGTATGAGTACTCGCTTGCACACTACTAACACTTACTATCAATAAATTTCTCCTTTATCAATTTAGACCGTTATGTCGAAGGTTGCAATGTAGGAAATGTATTAGAAAAAAAAAATTATTTGTAGAACACTAGAAATAAATGCAATTAATTATGTAATAAATTATAATACAGTATGATACTACTTATAATAAAGTATGATATTTCTCAGGTGTAAGATGTTTAAAACTCAAAATTTTCAAGTAGATTTTATAAATTCAAAAAACAGTTTTCTTATTTGAGGGGCGAGAGATTGGCGACCCGTAACACAGGTATTTAAAACCTGTCACGGTCACGCCAGTCATTTACTTAAGTAGTCGATATCACAAAATTGTAATAGGTTTGTTCCATTAATTTAATTAGCTCTTTAGCTGTTTTTATGAGTGAAAATAAATAAATATTATTATTACATATTTTTAAATTTATTGCATGATTTGGATACAAAGACTTTCGGGTTTTCAACATTGCAATTATTTATAACAAGAAAAAAACAGGTTTAGAACAAATTTAAAGTAAGTGACTATTTAAGAATTAATTTTTTTCAACGATATTAATAACGAAGTTGCAAGAACATAATGGAATGAAAAATATCATCATCTGAAATCATCATCAAAAATATCATGTGAAAAAAAAAATTTAAATTATAATAATAATAACGCAAGCACTCAACATAGCCCCGCACTAGGGAAACCCTGTGTCGCGGGTGCCATGGACACATGAACCTGTGAGGTCCCAGTGGCAGTCCGGCATGGTAACCGTTCGGCCACAGAGGTAGTTAACGTTAAGTAAAGTTACCAGTGTTGCTACGTGCAATTTTCAATTTCCCCATTTGCCTGCAGATTCTACTTTGTACGTACTTTACAAAATCGATGACGCTTTTAATTACACCAATTTCTGATTAATTTTTTTATATGATGCTAAGTGACGGGACGAATAAGTCGTTCGGGTGGAAAGCCACACGCCTGTTCATAGCAGTTGCAATCCCGCTCAGAGCATTAACTCGCAAGGATCTGAGGGGCACCGCGCGCCCGTCACCGTGAAACACAAGGTGACAAGACCCACGTGCCTGTAATTTACTAATTATTTAGATATTGTGACAACTTAAAATGTGTTCGTGAGAGTAGTTGATAGTAGCGCTCGATTAAGTTTGTAAAATCCAAATAGAGAACATACTTTATTTTTATTTACTTTTTACGTAATTTTAATCTTAGTAAGGAAATGGTATTTTTTTTTTTTTTTTTTATACCTGACAGGCAAATGACTCCACTCCACCTGATGTTAAGTGGAAAGTGGTATCCAAACGCGAAGGAACCTAGTGCAGCGATGGAATCCTCACTGCACTAGCCGCCTCCACCCTGCCTGCCTACAATATGCCTCTTCACGCCTCGTTTGAAGGACCCCATATCATAAGAGGGAGGGAAGACATGTGCCGGAAGGGAGTTCCATTTGTCAACCGTGCGGCAGAGAAAGGAGCCACCGAACCTTTTAGTACGCGATGGAATGCGGCAGGTAGTGAAACGGTGACTACGAAGGCCAGCACGCGTGCTTCTGAGCAGGAACGGGGAAGGGGGGATGAGGTTGAACAGCTCCTCAGAGCACTCACCATGGTACATGCGGTAAAAGGCGCTAAGCGATGCAACATCTCTACGCAGTTGCAGAGGTTCAAGGCGTGATGAGACCTCTTCGTCGCCTATAATTCTAGTAGCACGACGCTGTAATTTATCCAAGGCATCGAGTAGGTACTTGGCGGAGCCGTCCCACAAGTGCGAACAATACTCAACGCAAGACCGGACCTGTGTTTTGTACAGCAGGCATAACTGGTCCGGCGTGAAAAAACGTCGCACCTTGTTCAGGACTCCGAGTTTCCGTGAGGCTGTTTTGATCACAGATTCGATGTAGCTCCTTTGATTCAAATCACAGCAGATTTCCATACCGAGCAAGGTGAAACTGCTCTGAGGTGAAAGTGCTGTGCTCATCAGAGAAGGCATGGGAAGGAACGGCGACAATTTTGTTGTTAACGCGCAAACCTGTGTTTTCTTGGCGTTGAACTCAACAAGATTACTGGATCCCCATGCAGATATGAGGTCCAATATCCTATTGAGCTCAACGACAAGATCAGATCGCTCTCTGTCAGTATCGGCGCGCTCAGCTGCGGGGAATCCATGATATCCCCCATGAACAGTGCTATCATCTGCATAACAATGAATATTCCCAAGTGGAAGCATATCATTGATATGCAGAAGGAAAAGCGTGGGAGATAGGACGGATCCCTGCGGTACGCCGGCGTTCACATTCACGAACCTCGAAATGCTGCCGTCAGAAACGACGCGAATTCTCCGCTCACGAAGGAAATCGGCAATCCAGCTGCATAACTGGGCTGGCAAACCGTACGCCGGGAGCTTGGAGAGAAGAGCTTTGTGCCAGACCCGATCGAACGCTTTGGCTATATCGAGGCTAACAGCCAACGATTCGCCACGTTTGTCTATAGCCTCACCCCAAATATGCGATAAGTACGCTAGAAGGTCACCCGTTGATCGTTTCGGACGAAACCCATACTGCCGATCATTAATTATGGAGTGATCTTCTAGGTATTGGGTCAGTTGTTTATTAAGGATCCGCTCTAAAACCTTGCATATTATGGAAGTAATGGCCATGGGACGGTAATTATGCGGGTCTGATCGGTCGCCTTTTTTGGGAACTGGTTGCACATTAGCCTCTCTCCAAGAGTCCGGCACACGACCTGAAGAGAGCGACAGACGATACAGTCGCGTTAGCACGGGAGTCAACTCAGCTGCGCAATTCCTAAGTACAATCGCTGGGATACCATCAGGACCACTAGCTTTCCGGACGTCGAGAGACTGCAGCTGCGTACGCACATCGCATTGTCTGATACGAATATCAGACATCGTGTAGCCACAGTGAGGTAGAGTTGGTGGCTGTGCGTTACAGTCGTCGAGACAGGAGTTAGTCGCAAACAAATTTGCCAAGAGGTCGGCTTTATCTTGCGGCTTGTGGGCTAGATTGCCGTCAGAATATCTCAGCGGTGGCAGCGAGGGCTGGCAGAAGTTCGACGCAACGGCTCTGGCCAGACGCCAGTAGCTACGACTACCTGTGGGATGCGTCAAGAGTTCTTGGCCAACTCGTGCGACGCGCTGAGCATCCGCTCTGATGTACGCTCTTTTGCAAGACCTGGTGGCATTATTGTAGGCTGTTTTAAGTGAGTTCGTATTGGGATCGTCTGAAGCTAGACCCCTGATCCAAGCGCGGTATGCAGTCTGTTTGTTCTCAACAGCCACAGCACACTCGCGGTTGAACCAGCGGTTGCGCCTCCCTTTACTGACGAGATCCGAATGCGGGATGTAGTATTCCATCCCGATTAAGATCTCATCAGCAACGGCAGTCGCGCTAGCTGTTGGATCCACCTCACTAAAACAGCGCTGCCGCCAGGGAACGGATGCAAAATAGTCCCGCATACCGTCCCAATAACCATTTGGTTACTTTTTTGTGTTATGTAGTTTATAGTTAACATGCCTCCTACCTGGTTGCGGAGTGTCAACAGTCTTGAATAGCCTTAACAATAAATGACAAGTCAGTCTTGCCCCCGTGTCGGGCGAAGGAGCGTTTGCGGGGTTGCCGGAGACACCACCGCCGCCACAGGCTTTTAGAAGAGACGGAAGGGCTGCGTGGCGGACGAAGTCTTCTAGAGAGAAGCAGTGACGCGCTGAAACAGAACATATTGTGTGTAAACATACTAAACACCGCTTGAATTCAAACAAATTAATAACACAATAGTGTGAAAGATAACATTCGTGAAGACTAATATCAAGGTAATTTGTATAGATATAGCAGTAAATTATTTGAACTGTGAGTAATAATAGTATCGCTACAACACTAAAGGCGATAGGTACGTAAGTTTTGAGAGTGAGAATACATTTTATTAAATTTCCTATACTTAGACTAGAGTAGTTCATAAACTACGAACTGTTATTAATGGATTCCCGTCACTGACCGAAAAGAACCAGTTCTTGTTGCACGATTTTAATAGTTCACAGGTCTTTCTAGTTCAGTAGAAAATAGGAATTTACGGATCTTTCGCTGTTTTAGTACAAGTTCGAGTGTGATGCACGACTATATGCCAGTTCGTTTAAATCATTACGTAACTTAACTACGCAGTTGTATTTTGTCAGGGTGATTTTTATAGTACTGATTCCATATAAAATTGTAGTTTTAAATAATTAGTACTAAAGTGTTGCTATTAGTATTATTGACTTAATAGTACGTTCTAGAAGTACGAACAAATTCATTTAAATAAAAGTACCAGTTTGGAGCATTCGTTCAATGTCCGACGAAGGACAAGACCGAACTAGTTCAGTTGACCGATTGGATCGCTCATTCTAAAGAAATATAAGCAGTACGATTGTCTCTATTTCACATTGAACAAATTTATAACTCGCACAATACACTCTATTACTTACCAACAAGTATACAAGTAAACACTGCCAACGCATCATGAGCCGCGGCGTCATGCAAATCTCTATGGTGCAATAGGTCAGGGTACAACGGCGGTGGGGCGGTATGTGGTGGAGCGCCTGCGGGGTAATGCTGTGCGCCACATAGAGCCACTAAAGCTCCGAGCCATTCGGCTGCGAGGCTACTGCACCATGCTGTCATTTCCGCGCAGAGTACGCCCAGCTCGTTGACTCTACGTGGACAAATCATATTTTTGGAATTAATTGTACCCTCCAATACTATTTTTTTATCACCTTGTTACTTATAACTTTAATAGGCTAAAAATGGTGTTATCCGTGGGGTAAGACGCTATACGTTGAGATAAAAAAAAACAAAAAACGAAATTTTCTAGACATTAAATATTTCTTTAAACAGTTTTTTTTGTTTCTGACAAACAGCACTTTATACATTATTTACGTTCCGTTTTAAGTAAGTATAGGTTTTTTCAGTTACAGATACTTTTACCTAGCAGTTTTTTAGTTATATTGTCTAAGTTTTTTTTATCGACTATTTGTAAAATTTGTTGTTTAGCGAACTCTGCATGTGGTCAACTCACCGGTCATTGTCAACTTCGCGGCAAACCGCCAACATTGCGGAACAAACAAAGCTGTACCTGTTCACCGGAGACTCTGCCACTTGACGCGCCCATGCGATTTCAATTTTACCTGAAAGTATAATTCACGTATCAATAAGTTGGCCACTTAGTACAGACCCTTCAAATCGCCTAACAAAAACTTTACCTTTACGCGGATTCGTAAAAAATTCGCTTAAAAATTGTGGATTATAGACGTAACTGGACGGTGTAGGTGTTAGTGGGGAATAGAGAGCTTGCCTGTAAAAAAAAATCACACATACAAAAAGTTCACAAATGACAACTAATTTAATATTTACACAGTAACTATTTTTCTAGTAAACTAGAAAAATATTTACTCATTTTAAACGTCCCGCGCGGTTGTTGGATCTCACAAAGACACACACTGAAACACACACACACACATACCATCCACACACACATACACACACGCACACACACATTTATATTACATATTTTATACTCGTATATATTTATACATACTTTTAACTCAAAACACTCTCACTTACACACTTCCTCTACTATACACGCCTATAACATACATATTTTTTCCAATTATATTTATTTTCCAAGTAGTTAGCTCATAAGTCCTAATGTCCGTGGTGGGGGGCCTGGAAGCTATATGACAGGTTTCGACCTAGTTTAGATTCCAGCTCCCTCACAAACTATAATTAAATTACATTAGTTTAGTTATTACTATTATTGTCATACCTATAGTTTGTGATGAGAAATAAACGTTTTACTTTACTTTTTTTTTACTTTACTTTACAGTAAAAAAGCAACAAATGGATATCGGTGTTATAATCAGAATATGATATTAATGGGCTCATTCAGAGTGCAGACACGGGCGCGGCGGCGGGTGCTGACGCGAGATTACTTTCACAATGTCTTCCCTTTCACAGTGCCGAAGCAGCTACGAGCGGGTAGATCAACACAACGAAATCGCAAACAGACGCTAGACGCTAGACGAAGCACTGTGAAAGGTACGGGCGGACCGAGTTCATATCAAACCGCACCCGCGCCCCGCCCTCCGCCACTATGAATAAGGCCTATATTGCACATCACTCTAGAAAAAAACACGTCATAACATTTGATCTGTGTTACACTTACTTAATCTTAGGGTAAGCGTTGGCGAAGGTATCAGCATGTGGTGCGTGGCAGAGATGGGCTGCTGCCTTGTATAAATCATGTAGCTGCGCTAGCACACATCGCTCGGCTGACCCACAGTCGCCCGGGTTCACCACGCATTTGACCAATCGGCATAATTGTTCGAATACCGCTGACGTTTGTTCTACGCACACTGCCGAAAGAAGTAACTTTTAATTCATTATGTGGAAGTGTGAAAAATAAACCTTGTGGCTATTTAAGACTCAGTGGTGATTTAATCCGTTGACGAGGTTACCTGAATACAGCAATATTATAAAAGTGTGCTAAAGTAAAATCCATGAAACATTATATAGGGTTATTGTAAAATACTAACCGCCTCCCAGGACTGCATTAATAACTTCATAAACACAACTTTTGTTCCATGACTTTTAATTAGTCAAAATTTACTTTCATACAAAAATAAAAAAAATCTTTTTTTATAATACCAAGTGGGACAAGTCGTGTGTCTGGTGGTAAGATACACACATATCCATAACAGTTGCAGTGCCACTCAGCTTTTGATCGCAAAGATCTTAGGGGCACTGCCATTGCGCCCGTCACCCTGAGACTGAAGTTGACAAGTCCCATGTGCCTATAACATCACCACCACGCTTACCCTTCCAAACCGGAACGCAGAGCATTACCGCTTGGCGGCGGAAATAGGTAAAGTTAGTACTTCCCTGGACGAACTCTTTCACAAGGAGCTTTACTGCCACTAAATAATATTTAATAGATCGCTCTAAACAGTGATAACTCTGTGCAAAACGCAGGCGTCGTCTGAGGACGACGTTTGAACTTGCTACCTTACTGCCAAATACAGATCAAATAAGTGTCAGTACAAAAAAAACTGGAAATTGTATTATTGGTATATTATCATGTTTTGTCAAAAGTCACGGAACAAAGTTGTTGTTTATGATGTTAATAATCTAGTCCGGCAAGGTTGTTAGTATTTTAAATAACCCTGTATAATCCGTCTTTTTTGAAGCCGGAGTAAAATTACAGTTCATTGCGCAAGTGTTGCACGCTTTCAAGCACCTAGTGATTGGATTGGACTGTTCAGTCGATAAATATTATATCGACTGAACAGTGACTATTAGAACCATGCACAATTCGACAATTTCTGCGAAATTTTACTTTCTTTCACAATCTATCGATAAAACTGTCAACAACAATTATATGGCCATTTAAAATTTTACTAAAACTCACAAACCTGCAAATCGTCGCATAGCAAACAACACCGGTTAAATAATTTCGAGCGATTTTAAAGGAGAGTGAAAAAACTGCATCTGTTATTGTATACAAGACTTTCAAGCTATTGTTAATAAGGTGTTTCATTTACGAATAACCAATAATTGTATGTATGGTGGTTATATATTTTTTCATTAATGTTCTCTTGTTTCATTTTGACTTCAGCAACATTAAAAAGTAAAAACCGCCAAAGCGACAAAATGTAATTTTACTTCGGCTTCAAAAAAGACAGACTATAGTAACTTGTATATAGAGAGATACTGATTAATAATGAAACAAATCATGGTTATCGTAAAATTAAATTGCAACATAAAAATATTAAACCTGTATCTTACACAACAAACACGAGTGGTATCTCCGCAAAGCGCCGACCGTATAAAGGGCAAGAGCCGAAGTGTACGCCCGTGGGGCTGCTAGACCACTGCTCGGCGCACCGCGTGATATTAACGCTCCTTCCACTTCTGATAGCTCTTTTAGTATCTAGAACAAATACGTTATGAATATAACAAGAGTTGGTGTGAACATCATACATGTACACAATTGCAGGAGTAAAATAATTTCTTGGTATGATTCAGAAATGATTTCGAAAACACATTAGTTAGAAATGAGAAACACGCACAGTTAGTGCTCAAATTAAATTTTGTACGTGATGTTCTTTATTGTTAATTTTTGTTTTCACCATGCTCAAAAGATTGCAGTCACTAAATTTTCTTAAACTAATTCCCATATTACAGAAATATTATAAGACACCTAGTACCATAATATTGAACTATGTAGTAAAGAGCTATCATTAAAGCGTGAAACACATCGAGATTGGGTACCGGTCGGGCGCGTGTCGGGTGGAGCTCCGTGTGTTTATATGGACGACCACACACCACACGCGGGCGCGAGACCCGACCTGCGCCCGTCTCGACACGCGCCCGAACGGCACTCGCCGTGTGTTTCACGCTTAAACCATCTAAACATGGTCTAAATTGTGTAAAGAGAGTCATCTACGTAAGATTCGTAACCACTTTCGCTAATTTTATGTTTGATTAAACAATACTTTACTACCGCATTCCAATTGAGAGATTGTGTGTGCACAAACTATATTACCTAAATTCAACAATGCGAGGGCGCATGAATTATTCTTCTTACCTGTATGCAAGTGTCAATAAGTCCATGAACATTAAGCGCGATTTCACACAAGTCGAGAGCGAACGCGACATGCTCGGGCTGCGGAAGGTATGATGTGGCACCACTTGAGAACGCTGCTAGGGCTTCGCATACCGCGCCGCCTACAGCCCATGAAACTGCCCCTTGTTCATACATTGACATTGACTGAAAATAAGCAGCTTTTATTTAACCAACAAAACAAGATTATACAAGGTAATCACTAACAAGGTAATCGATATTAGGGTAACCATTCTGGAGAGTTAAATCTTTGGGTAAAGATTTATTTGTAAGTCAATGGGCAAAGAAAAATTATTTCATTGAAAGTTCTATCTTTTTTTTTCAAAAATGGAACTCAATACGTAGAAAAAACTTGAATGGTAACTAAAAATTCTCCTGTATGAGGTCCAACTCTATTTAATTTCGATTACAGGTTCCTTACCACGGTCCGTCATTCATTCAGAGATTCAGAAATAATATGTTCAGTATGATTATGGTGTAAAATGTTATGTTAAAGTTTTACCATATTTGCATCGGCTGAGTTTACACTTAGCATCGGTATGACCCGGTCGTAGACTATTAAGACTTACTTTATATTAGATTGTTATCTATTACTATACCCACACATCGACTATTACCTACTTTTTGCTGACATAATATGTGAAATGCTAAACTGAAATTCAATAGGAAATGAAACTATTTTTCCGGATTTAAATCGCGTATATTTGTTTTTTCATACAAACCGACGTTTCGGGGGTGACGTTGACTGAGGTGGTACGGTCTTCAATCAGTTATGTCTAATATTGATGCAAACCACCATATTTTTTCACTACAGTTATTAATTAAATATCTTATTTTTAATTTTACAAAGAAAATATTCCAATTTACGCTACATTAAGTTTTACAAATTATTTTATTGAATGAATTTTTATTAAGTTCAATTTATTATTAATTAACAGAAATTAGAATAAACTAAAACATATTAATTAGTACTACAGTCCTATGTCTGTTTGGGATTTTTCATTAGAGGAAATACTGGATCCCAAACTGGTGGTACAGAGAAATCAACTTCCCTGTTGAAATTAGGATGTTTTTTAATATACTGTACAGTATACTGGTTAGATAACGGACTTCTTTTGCAAGGACCTGGGGTTTGTCAAACTCCATTGAATGTGTAGGTTTATCCATAACATGCTCGCTGACTGCAGACTTGTTTACGCGACGGTGTTTGACATCAGCTATATGTTCTTTGACGCGGGTACAAATACTTCGCTTTGTTTGTCCAATATAAGAGAGACCACACTCACAGTCAAGCTTGTAAACTCCTGCATCCTGTAAGGGGATGTTACAATTCACGAGTCTCAGAAACTGAGAAATCTTCCTCAGGGGCTTGAAATAGGTCTTGATACTCCTGCCTGGCCTGAGGACTTTTCCGATCTTGTCTGTAACACCTCTCACGTAAGGTAAGATGGCAGGTCTTCGCTCGACTGTTGGTGGTTTCACACGAGGCCTGCGGCATTGGCGTGGAATCTTCAACTTATTAGAATTTAGAATTATTTATTAATTAATAATAAATTGAACTTAATAAATATTCATTCAATAAAATAATTTGTAAAACGTAATGTAGCGTAAATTGGAATGTTTCTTTGTAAAATTAAAAATAAGGTATTTAATTAATAACTTTTGTAACTGTAGTGAAAAAATAGGATGGTTTGCATTAATATTAGACATAACTGGTTGATGACTGTACCACCACAGTCAACCGTGACCATGGGACCTGTAAAGGGTCCGAAACGTCGGTTTGTATGAAAAAACAAATATACGCGATTTAAATCCGGAAAAATACTTTCATTTACTATGTGTAACAATCTCGAAAACCTAAGAACTCGATATGAAGTTCAATAATTTTTGTTTTCTTATTGCTGTTATGAATATTAAGCGTCGAGATCCACGTACTGAATATAAGGAGAAGAGTCACAAAAGATCGTACTGCGGTAAGATACCAGTAATTAATAATAATCGTTTAGTGAATAATTACGGAAGTCTATTTGACCGCGTACAGTTTGTGTGCAAAAAAAGTAAAAAAATTACCTGAAACTTTTGAGTAACAGCTTCAAAGTTAAATTCGCTTCTGGAATGTTTCTTAATCTTTCCACCTTCAGCGACATCGATAGAGAATTTCTTAGAGAATAACTTACAGATTTCTGAAACCAACGGCACACAATAAGTAAACTTCAAGATAACATTTTGGAAAGTATCTTTTTCTGTTCATAGTGTCGTCCTGGACGCGGGTGACGATCTGGGAACGGCGAACCGAAGTCTCGTGAGCAAAAGCTCCATTTGCATAAGGCTCATGTCAATACATTGTGGTGGAATGGTATTCCGGAGAATTCTCGTGTATGTTCGGCATGAAACAGATCTAGACTGAACACTTACTAAACTCGAGACGCGATTGTGAGAATTCTCGCGCAGTGAAATGAAATTGGCGCTTACAATATATCCATTCGCAATGTAAATAGAGCAAGAGTCATCACGGTACGGGTACGGGAGAGATATATTTACTATATTTCAGTGGCAATTCTAAATGGAGTGTTCAAATGTACCTTTGGTCATTTTTTTAACGACATGCTTAGCCTCATCCCGTTGTCGTCCGACGCCGTACAGCAGTATGTGCCGTTGGTTGGCGTCGTGCGGTGTGTGGTCCGGCTCGGCGGGCGGCAAAGGGAAGTGCATCGTGTAGTGGTAATGCCGCGACACTGACGCCGGTGTTGGGCAGACACTCGACGGGCCTGCGCTTGTTGTACGCATACCTGAACAAAGTCATCTAATATTCCAAAACGACCTAAATAAAAAAGGGCACGAGAGTTGCAGCTTTTTTGACTGCCAAATAAAGTCAGTAAGGAGCTAGAGCAATATGACTTGTTCAAGCGACTTTAAAAAGAAAGTTCAAACACTTGCCTGGCACAGACATTGGTCCCATTCCCATGGATTGCATACCGGGTATGCTCATCCCACTTGGTCCCATCATTGGCGAATTTACGCTGCAACGAAATAGAGTTTTCTGGAAATGAAACTATTTTTTCGGATCTAAATTGTCTCATGGTCATGGTCCTTGTAAAGGGCCCGAAACGTAAGTTGTGAAAAAACACAAACACGATTCAGATCGGAAAAAATAGCTTAATTTCCAATGTGTAACAATCGCGAAAATGTTAGAATTCGAAATAGTTTATTTTTATGCATCGATATGTTAACGTTTTTTTATTTACTCGTCGATATTATTTAGTTTTTATATAAATCAAAATTACTAAATGTTGTAGTACAAGTTTCAGCTTTCTAATCGAATCGGAGCATAATTTTTTTCTTGGGTAATTTAAATTGATTTTTTAATTATTATTAAGAAACGCAAAATGTTATTCAAAAATTTAGTAGCAATCTCCAGATGCTCCACAGGGCTGCTGGGTTCATGATTCGTATGCAGATTGTGCGTGTTGTTGGCCACTAGCTCTACCACATCAAACTTTTGATGACTATATGTTGCTACTGTCATTATTTATATTTTGTTTCACTATTTTAAGTAAACATTCGCGGAGAATTAGAGTTTGACTCATTAGCAACTTGAATCTTTCGAAAATGTAAAAAACTGTAGATTTTCGATCTAAGTTTTTGCTTTCATTTCGGTGTGAGGATAAATTAAATTCTTTCACGCTCGAGAGAACGTGTATGATTTGGTTATTTATTTTTAAGGAAAAGTTATAAACAGCTTTAGCGCGATCAAAACCTTCAAACGTTGAAGTCTTTGCCAAAGTCCAACATTGAAAGTACAAATGTTTCCAAAAACATAGAAATTTCTAAGACACCGCTATATTCAGGTATGTAGTTCATAGGTTGTTGCGTAGGATACGACTCCACTGAGAACTCATAGAAGTCTTAGCATCGATTTTAAACACAACCTATACACTCACCTATGGGAAGGTTCTCCAGGATCCTTAGGACTGTCGGGTGCATCCATAGAATTTTGCTGATCTTCTTTGATATGTTGCAATAATTTATCTAAATCATCGTCTATTTTCGAGTCATCTAGATCCATTCGAACGTTTTCCTGTTAACATTTATAAGTTTATAAAAAGAAAAATTATCTATACAATATAAACCAAGTTAAAAGAATGAAATAGCTACAGTCTGTTACAATACAAAAAGTAAACAAACCTGTTTGGTTAAAATTCTAAAGCAATCACTCAATAAATCGAATAAGTAACACTTTCACGTATATCATTACTTTTTCCAACAATATTCATTTGAATAGTATCGTCAAATCGTATTTCAAAAATGGTAGTTCAAAAGTGAAGTTATTTTTCAACTTTACTTCTATGACTTGTCTACGATTGCATAGTGCAGGACGGAAAAAAACATTACGTTTATTCAATTAAAGTCTTTGTAATCGATTGGTAAATCGAAAATTTCAATCGCAATCGAACGAGTATCTAAGTGTAAATATTTGAAGGAGGATTTAAAATTAAGATTTCAGAAAATTTTAATATATGCTTTTATAGGTTATGTATTTTTACTATTCATGTAAGGATAACAGCTAGTATGACTCAATTAAATAAATCGATTCATTCAATTAATTAATCGAATTTTAGTTTGCATTACAATTGGCCATCACTAAATAGTGATGAAAGAGACTCAGTCTTTTAAGGCCTTTTAAAAAACCTCGACTAATTTTCAACGCCTCACGACTAGTCTAGTCTTTTAACCTGAGGGTTAAAAGTCTTCAGTTTTAGTCTTATGACTCAAGATTTGAGAGTCTTGAGTCATAAGACTAAAACTGAAGACTAATTCGAGTCGAAGTCTTTTAACCCTAGGAAGCTTAAAAGACTTATAGGACTAAAACGACTAAAAGGACTGGCGCCTCATAGTCTCGGGAGTCGCGAGTCATGAGCCGTATGGCGTGATTTTATTTCTACCCACAAGGTATTTATTTTACGATTTTTATTATAAGTAAATAAACGGATTATTTACTACATACTAATTACGTCATTTTTATTTATAAACTTCGGGTTTAATAAGACATAAAATAGGTATAAGTCTTTTGCAAACAACTCGAGTCGTTCAAGTCTTTCAAGTAATTTAAGTCGTTTAAGGTCTTTTGAGTCTTTTCGTATTCTAGAACTCTACTCAACGCTCAAGTCAGGATTTGAGCAGACTTGAGTATGATTTCAAGCACTGGAAATACGACACTAATGGCAAGAACTTGAGTATGATTGTCGGTGCTCACTGCAATACTCAAGTCCTGACTTGAGTATTGAGTAGAGTTTTGGAATACGACCTTAAGTATAACGACATAATTTTTTTTAGTTAACAAATCTCGAATCCCCAGTCTTAATTTTAGAGTCGAGTTCTGTAAAACAGAGTCGAGTCGTTATAAAACGCCTTAAAAGATTGAGTCTCTTTCATCTCTATCACTAAACCATCTATGGTCAGGTCAGTGACTTGTTTGTTTACTTTTTGTTTAAAATGGATTGAAACGAAGTACAGTTATTATTTACGTAAACCTGCCAGAAAGCGGGTGTAAACATTAACATCGCGACTCATCATCTATTTACTATGAACACCTCATACCTTTGGTATAATAAAACCACGTACATGAAAATAAAACGAAATATATGAAAGAAATTATGCGTATGTGATGCGTGAGTATATTATACTTTAAACTTTTTAACCATTTAAGCATAAATAAGTTATAGACCAATTTCGTTCGTAGAATGTTTAAACCTGAAAAGTCGTCATTTACAAATGTGACCTATATGTTCAAAGTTTGTGCTCTAACTTTAGGTATAAAAAAGTTTTTCTAGGTTCTAGTTAGTTTCAGCTAGTTTAACAAACCTCCATTTTAGGCTTCAGGTCAATGCCGGCAAAGATGTCATCGTCCATATTATGATTAGTTCCAGAACTATTCGCAGGAGGCGCCACTGTGTGGCAGTTTGCTGTGCCAGACGATGCCGGCTCCGTAGGAGAAATTAAATCGCCTGGAGCAAACAAATTGTAAGAACATTTGGAGATAAATTTAATTTGTAACTGACGCCAGTTATATTATTATTTTGCATTTCTAATAATTAAATTGTTATGCTCTGTTGTTGTTTCGAGTAATTCAAGAATTGGTTTTAAGTCTATTAAGAATTGCAAATCGTGTCTATTATGAAATTGGCGCCTGTAATCTTAAAAAATTTGACTCTCTCATTTAAGTTAAAGGTGAAGTGAGACCTGAAATGACGTTTTGACGTATTTCGACCACACGGAAAATCGGTTATTTGACGTTAAAAGTACGAATTCAACTTGTTTTCTTAAAAATGAAAACAGAAGATACCGGTACTAAACTATGAGACCCGAAATATGATTGACTACACTTCGGCCGATAAAAAAACAGAAGTTCCGCAAAATTTTCACTTTTTACTACGTTCAGTAAAAATCAGTTTCATTCAATTGTTATTAGAGATGTTCCGATGTTATTACGATGTGACCGTGTTCCGTAATAAATACGTCAGATAACTACGAAATTATTTTACTGTGAGATGGTATATTTTTTTCTCAAAACGCAAATGTTTCAATGTCGCATAATGGATTTCTCTGCGTCCACCTTACCCTCTTCAAAAGTAACTACAAAACAAGCGATAATCGTTTCCGGTTTATAAAATTAATAACAGAATGGAGCAACTCACCCCTAGAGATAAGCGTGCACATGTAGGCATCATGTGAAAACACGTCTCGTCGAATTAATTCTCCGAATAAATGCACTAAATTCGCGAACTGTTGTCTATTGCCCGGTGGAGGGCTTGGACTTTCGTCTGAAAAAGAGACTATTTTTAAGAACCTTGATAAGTTTAGTCCAGGACAGCATTTAATGTTTGTTTCACGCATGGTAATATTACCTAATACTGGAGCATCGTTGTCTAAGAATCTAAGAAGGAGGTTTTGAAAGATAGGCGGACCGTTGTAAAGACCCTGACCGGAGCTTACTGATTCCTTGTCATCTGAACCTGTCAAGTATAAAAATTACTAACGTTATCGAAGTATGATAAAATGGATCATTGTACTTGTACAAACAATATAAAAAAATAAGGATTATTGAATTAGTGACAAGTCACAATGATGCTAAAATGTCATATCTTTTTAATAAAAAGTTACATTGTCCAGTACTAACTGTATACCTAGGAGCAGATAGATAAAGGAAGTATACATATCTAACTCTAATCAGATAGATACAGGGAATACACAGTGTGTTTTTAAACTGAGACAGTATGGGGAAATCCGAATCCAAAGAAGATACAAGGAACCTGTCTTAGGAATCATTAAATCGTTTTTTGTGAAAACAATTTTCAAACAGAATTTATCACCTACCCGTAGCGTGATGGTCATGGTGCTGATGTAACAGCTGATGCTGTCGTTTGTCGAGCAGCGCGGCGGCCGCCATTGCGCGGTGCTCGCCCCACCGTGCACCGCATACCGCCCATTCGCATAGCACTTTCACTACTGCATAGGAGCACGGCCATTCCTGCGTAAAAATAAAATCCATGAGGCAAAACATTCGTATGTATGTTTAACTGAATACAAGGGAGTTCTGTTTACTAAAACGTTACTAGTTATCTGGAGGTTTTTCATAAATTATAGAAAAGTAAAATAAAATTAATAGCACTGGAATTTCTCCATTAAAATGCGTATATATTTAGCGCGATTGCCCATTGCACCCGATTCGAATTTGTTCCGAAACCGACTATACAAATTTAGAGAACTCGGACGCACTTCGGATGTTGTTTTGCAATGGTATTTGTGAACCGATTTTCATGATTCTTTTTTTGTTGGAAAGGGGGTACTTCCATAGTGGTCCCATTTCATTTTGAAGGAAATCATCCACCTCAAAAGGTGGCTGTTCACGCATGAAGATTCATTTTTATAAATAGCGCCTAACTTTAATTTAGGAGCAATTACTTTTAGCAATTATTTAGTTGATTTTGCTATTTCATCAATTCAAGGCGTTTTTCCCTCGATATACTTTGAGTAGTGTAGTAGTGAGAACCTATTTTTATTATCTGCAGTATCAAGTGCTGTATAGTGGCGAACTAGGGGATATTTCAATGAAACTTAGCAAATTGACGTAATTCCACGTACTTTTGAGGTCGGTTTTTTTAGTACTCTGTGCTGAGATTATTTATTACTTATTCAATTTATCATGAAAATCTCCACATGATCGGCGACTTGTTAGTTGACTACCCAAGTTTGCATTTTACTGGCGCAAATGTAGCTTTTATTGTTTTAAAATGTGCCAGATAACCAGACCAATTAATTACCCGGTTTCAAACTAGGGAATTCCCTGTACTATGAGTTGTAAAATTATTCAACACACAATACATTTTTATTTTCAATTAATTATATGGTTTTAAATAGGACTGATGTTAGATTAAGATATCGAATTAAGGTCAACACTTTTCTTACCTAAAACTTGTAACAGGTTTTCACTTACTTGGTCTTTGGTATCAACAGCGTCTTTGGAAGGCGGCGTGCAGTTGGCGAACACTTCTTTGTAGAGGGTGTCCAAGTTATTATTTTGGTCCACACGGTCGAAGCAATGTCTGTCTAGGGCTTCTAATACCGCTAGAACGCGAGCTGATGAAAAAAGGGCAACATTTTTAAACTTAATAAACGAGACTTTAATATTTATTTTATTGGATATCGTGATGTTTTTACTATCATGATATTCAAAATATATTTTTTGTGAAAATACTCCACTAATTTGTTGCCAATATTGATACACTTATTAACGAACACAAAGAAAAACTCCTTCGATCAGGCCGAACTCGAACCAGCGAACTCGCCAAACCGTGACTCTCGCTCTACCAACTAAGCTTTGGAACGAGGCAGGTAGTTCTTTGTTTTTGGTTTTAAAGGTAAGTTTTTTTGTAATATCACTTGTGAGCAACCTATGAAAATTCTGCATCATTTTGTTCAGTTTACAATGTACTTACCTTGCGAGCTGGTTTGCCATTTGTCAGTGCACCATTTGCTTTCAGCTTTTTTGCTTCTTGCTGCAATTTCTTGCTCAGATTCATACACCTGTGTACAACAATATTAAAAGTGATTGACGAAGTATATACTACCAAAAGTAAATAACTAGTAGACCAGTGTATATTTGGAGATTCTGAAAGAAAAAAATTACTTACGAGGCACAAGACTAAGTGAGGGAGCTAATTGTCGATGTTTGTATTATAAGCTATTACCAAAAGTAATGGATGGAGTCTATACTGACCATTCGCCGATGTTCCTCTGTGAGAGAAGAGTCCATGTGTGGCATGGGAAGTGCTGACGGTGGCAGCGGTAATAGGTCCAGCGGTGAACCTTGCAGGTGCGATCCGCAGCCCGACCATACCATCGCCGTTGGGCATTCGATACAGATTATCTGATTACAACATTTGAGTTTAATTATGCTTGCGCTTTTCATTGCTGACTCAGACCAAAGAACTATAAACAAACTCATGCATGACGCACAATTATCACATAAATCAGCAAATAATCATTATGTTAAAAATTAAGACTGAGAGTTTTTAATAGTCTGATTGGCAGTGGTACTCATTCAGAAAACTAACTAACTTTTCCAAAGAGCACTTGTATTTTCTATTTTCTTGTAGCGTAATTGAATGACACTATTGTGTGTGTGATTGAATTACAAATTTTTATAGATGTAAAACTTTGATGAGTATGCATAACAGAAGGGTGTGTGTGTTTTTACTTGTAAGTTTAGAAGATTGACCAGAACAAAGACTTACTTGCAATATAGTGGCCAATTGTATTATAACATCTCTATGATACGCGCAGTTCAATATTTCTCCAAAACCAACTTGCACGGGGTTTAAAGATGCTGTTATGACTGAAGTAATTGTAGGTTTATTGTCTCTAGGTGGAGATTCGTTTTCTTCTTTTACTTGCACTTCCATAGGTTGGGTAGGGTTAGGGGTGCCTAAGGAATGGGTAGGGTTAGGGGTACCTAGGGAATGATTAGGATTAGGTGTACCAAGAGAGTTGGCGTTAAGGGTTCCTTGATTCTGGTCGGCGGGCGTGGCGGAACGCTTTATTTGAGATATGTTGAGTTTCACATCGCCGTTCGGTGTTTCGTTGGGGGCTGGAGACAAGGGCACACCGTTTGTGTCTACAAACAAAAATAATTTTGTTTTTTTTACTGTTTTTCATGGGTACGTTAACTTTTGTCGTTATTTCTTTTTATCAATTATTTTTTAATGTCGTGCAACATACTACTATTATCTACACCTCTCTTCGTTTCTTTCTTTCCCTCCTCTCTTCCCCTGACATTCTTCCTTTTTTACCTCGCTGATATTTGAAAGAAATCTTACCAGTTCTATCAGCCTGTTTGGAGAACACAGCCGGTTGATTCAACGTTCGTAGCGTGGTCTCGGAAAGGACCGAGCATATCGCCGCGGCTTTCTTAGCACAGGTGGTCGCCAATCGACGAGATAGGCCCTCGCAACAGACAAACTCGCACATGTGTTGTAAAGCCAGCGGCAGGAACAGCCTGGGTGAACAGGACGCAGTTTATAACATTGGTACCCGACGCGGGGTGGGTGCTTGTATGAAGTTATAAATTCTTGACATGGGCATGTTTTTTGTTTTTTTTTCAGGGATACAACACAAAACATTCGAAAAATGACGAGTGAACTTTCATTTTAAACTTACCTCAAAAGTCCATCATCAGGTGCCCTCTTGTCCAGAAGCTCAATTATCCACGTGAGGAAGTCATGTCTGTCCAACAAGCCCTCATCAAGCAAGTACTTGGCGAGACGTGTGCAGTAGTTCCACAATCTGAGTGCTTGCCGCCAGTCTATACTTTCGGAACCTGGTGTGGTTGAGCCCAGTGCTAGAAATTTCAACATTATCAGTGGGCTTTACGTTACATACACAAAAAGTTTTATCTATATTTCTTCTTATATTTATTAAAATGAAATATGAGTAAACAAAGAGTGGGGGGGGGGGGAGAGAGAGAGAGAGAGAGAGAGAGAGAGAGAGAGAGAGAGAGAGTTTGCTTCTATATGTAGGTTTATTGCTATTTTTAAAGTGAAATAAGTTTACTTACTACTAGTATTTCCAGGAGAATGCATAGAGTTTGGAATAGTTGAGTTAGGAGTAGAGCTTCCAGGTGGATTTCCAGATGAACTGTGGCTTGGAGTACCTTGACCTTATAATTTTAACAGCACAAGAATATTTTTTAATAGTGACTACATAATTTAGACAATAATTAAGGATTTGAAAGAATAACACAAAACAAACTTTATTAGCAAATTTAATAGGAAGCATACCTGACTGTGATGGAGGAGTTTTCTCATTCCCAGGAATAGCACTTTGGTAATGTTCTGCTAATTTTGGTATTTGGTCCTTTAGGAACTTTATTAATGTAGTAGTCCATTCTAAAAGAAAGTATTGGTACAGTGGTCAGGAAACAAAATAATTGTTTAATTTAAATATACCGCTAACATTTTATTACAATGTTTTATTATTTTGTAAGTTTTAAATATTACAAGGGCATTTGCACCAAAGTGGCAACAGTTTTAAGACTTAACTTTGTTTGATTTTTAAAACAAAATATATTTAGGTACCAAATACCTGTACCTGTTTCATAGGTACTTGCTTAATTATCATTAGCTTTTAAGAACTTTCGTAAATTGAGAGTAACATCTTAGGTCAGTACTGTTACAAAAACTGGTTTGCAGTGACTATTGCATTGGTTCAAATTTTTGAAGTATTTTTGTTATATGATTAATTTACAGATACCAAAGTTGATTATAGATACAAACTGAATGCATTGGGAAATATATTATAACAAAGAGTACTAAATAATTTTGGTGGAAATATGTATAACTGTATCTAGTAAGTTAAAGATTCAAATATGCACCATAGTGTCGAGGTTCTCGCGATTGTTACACATAGGAAATGAAACTATTTTTTCAGATCAAAATTTTTGGGACCTGTAAAGGGCCTCGAAATATTGGTGTTTGAAAAAAAAAAGAGTAATTTAGATGTGAAAAATAGTTTAACTTCCTATATGCACCATAGTGTTTATATCCTCAATGTGTATAAAGTTACATTCCAGAACTTCGGTCTTCTGAATTTCTATTACCAGTGCCAGAACACATGTCACTGAATCAAACACAATCAATAGCTTCAGCTGTCCACAAAAGCACTATTTTTGTTTCTTAAATAAGTACAAGAATACCTCACCTGTAGTGGGATCTGGAAGCTGTCTCTTTTTTATCTTAGCCTCAGACACTGCAACTGTATAAGCAGAGCTCAGTTTAATGAACCATGCAGCCCTAGGCATCGCCACTTGGTACTCCGTCAATGTGATGAAGATTTCTTCTTTTTTATTGAAATTTGGAGCCTTCTTAGCCAGTTGAGAAAGGGGCTTACTACCTGTCATGGAGAAAAATGTTTGATTTGAAATAAAGGTGAAATTTTAATATACTTTTTAAATCACAAAGACATTTAAACTAAACAGGCTTTTGGGATTAGAAATAGTTTACATGGTACCAATTAAAAGTTTATTAAAAAGAATTGCTCAATAGAATCACTTATTTTTGCAGAAGAAACTCAGGGAATAAAAAGTACTTCCTCCATAGGAACCAATGTGAATAAAGCGTTAATTAATGTGTATGCTTGATACTCTGTGAAATGACTATTCTCAAAATTAGCTTAGTTTTCACAGTGCATTAATTCTTAACTCTAACACTGTTTAAATATATTTACAATAAATAAATTGATAAACAGGAGTGAGAGAATGAAAACATACTTTTTTTAATTTCTTACCAGCTAAGTCTTTGAACCAAGCTTCAATCTGAGCTTTGGTGCGAGCTGTGGCGGGCCAGAAGTTATCTTTAGGATTCACTTGCTGTCTTTTCCGACCACAATCTGGAAGTGTGTTCAGCTCCTCTTTCTTTGACAGAATGCCAGAGAAAAATTGGCCAATCTGTAAACATAGATAAATATAATTTAATAAAACTAAAAGTAAATCTTAAAGTGTATACATTAGTTCAGTAGCTCATTTTGATGAAGATTTTTATAAACACACTTGTATTATTAGCAATTTTTTATGTGTGCCTATTGCCTTCCTTAGAAAGTATCATCTCAATTATGAAACTTGGATCATGAGAAAACAAAAAGGCTATCAAGTTGTTACCTTGGACGAGGAGTAGTTGAAATTCCTGGCCGTACCAAACTCGTCACTGGACTGTGGTGTCGTCGAGAAGCCATGTTTTACGTTCGTGGACGTAAGCTCGTCCTCTTTTTGACGCGGTTCTTGCGGATATACGTCTGGAGGCCCCAGCCGGGGCCTCTTTAGTGGCCGTTTTTCGTACATGATCCCCATGGTGTCGGGAGATACAGATTTATCTAAACCCAAGTAAATCACGTCATAAATAACAACTAAATAAAGAGACAACTTTAAACGTATTTTTTTATAAGTGTTCTGGTCACTCACCTTTCATTTAATCACTATTAAGTACGCACATGATTATAATTATTTAATTTGCCTAAATAAATAAAGAAAAATATATGAAATACATAGACATAAAACAATACAGTGATCTAAAAAATTGAAGAAGCAATTTCTGTATATTCTGTGACGTTTGCATGAGTACTTTTTTAACGCCAATTTCAATAATTTTACTAGCTTCAGAGACAGTTATTTGCTAATGTAGTGTGTAGTTCAAAAGTAGGACACGAACTCTAGTCTAGTAAAAGCCTAGTTTTGATTTATTTGACAAGGTATACATGAATTTTATACTTATGTTATGCATAGCAAAACATTTTACGTGCTAATTTCACGAATTACAAAGATTATTTATAAAAATTAAGTGAACGCTCTCTTAAATAAAACTAAAACAATTATTTTTAGAATTACCGGTTTTTTTTAATTATCAACATTATTAATTCGCTCTGGACCTCTTGGAGGGAAAAGTGTCGTTTTTATTTTGACTTTCAATTATTTTGTGAAATCTAGTTTAAAGTGGAATAGGATAGTGCTATTGTGCCTTAATCGAAGATTAAAACGTGAAATTATACGAATCTCGAACTAAAATATCCGTATCGGCCCGTTCTAAGGAATCCCGAGTCAATCCAAGCACGCTGCTGCCTCAAATTGCCTATCCTCTTTGTGGCGGCCATATTTAAAGAAACATAATTAAACTTCATGTTTACGCTTTACCAAAGCCTTAATAAAAAAAAAATAAAAAAAAACAACTTTAAAAATGTCAAATCGAATATTATACGACCAAACTACGAGTTAATTTGTCAAAATTTCTAATTTTCATTTGTAGTGTAATCCGTTGTAATAAGACAGTGTTACTTGTCTGTGATGACTATATAATTTTGTGGCATTATAATCATATTTACAAAGTGTGATTGATTTTGTGTAATTGTAAAAGTTGGTAAAAAAAACACGTTAGTGTTTTTAACAATTTAGCTGTACAATCATTCGAAATGCCTCCTAAGAAGCCGGAGAAAGGAGCTAAGGGTGGAAGTTCCAAAGGTGGAGCTGCAGGAAAATCAGCTGGTGATTCAAAAGGTTATAAAGCTGCCGCTATTTGCTATTAATTTCTGTACTTAGTTGCTAAAACTGGAACTTGGTCATATAGATTTTCTTTTGTTCAAAGTTTTATTGACTTTTCTCATTTTAAATTAAGAATCTGGTGCCAAGGAGAAAAAAGGCGGAGCAGCTGTCAAAGTACGTCACATATTGTGCGAAAAACAATCAAAATGTTTGGAGGCCCTGGAAAAATTGAAGGCAGGACAGAAGTTCCCCGATGTAGCGGCAGCGTACAGTGAGGACAAGGCTCGGCAGGGTGGTGACCTGGGTTGGATGACTCGCGGTTCCATGGTAGGCCCTTTCCAAGATGCTGCTTTTGCCTTGCCTGTTTCGTCGGTCACCAACCCGGTTTACACTGATCCCCCAATAAAAACAAAGTTTGGCTATCATATAATAATGGTAGAAGGGAAAAAATGACAGAAAAAATGGTGTTTGAGTTTGAGTACTTCTGGGCCATACTTTTGTTGTTCATTATGGAAAGAATTTGCTGCCTGCAGGAGCAGTTTGATAAAGATTTCTCCATTCTGCCAGACATACAGAGGTCCAATGACTCTTTGCAATCTAACATTGAAGATTTTTCCAATAGAGAGTAAGTTACCTCTTTGTAATTAGTTTACATATTGTAATTAGTTTACTTAGTATTTTGTACATAATGGCTACTATGTGGAATAAATTGACATGAATATTTTTGCAGTTCAGGATTAAAACTAAGTTTCCACCGTTTGTGTCGCTTAATGCATGTGACGATGCTCCTAACTCTTGTATACTTCTGCAATATCTGCATATGGTTCATAATGAGCAAGCCAGGCACATCAAAGGCCCCGAGGTATAGGTTCCGCATCAGCATCCCCTCGTCATAACTTTTTAAGAAAAAATTTGTTGTTAAGTAAATAATGAAATAAATGCATTTATACTGTTCCCTAAAAGGTGGATTTAATTTTTTATTTGATACTTATTTAATGGTATTGTCTGTGTCACAGTTAATCTACACAATATTTTGGCTATAGCTAATAGTCATGGTTTGGTAGCAGAATAAAAATGAACTTAGCTATCATAATTCCATAACTGTTGCCTTTGATTGTAGAAATAAAACAGTGTCTAAAAATTAAAGCAGAACTTGGCTAGCTCTTATCATAATTCCATAACTAAGTTACCTTTGATTGTAGAAATAAAACATTGTCTAAAAATTAAAGCAGTCTTTATTGACAGATCTTAAATACTTAAACATAATTTTAATCCGCCACTGATGACTGTTGTACCTACTTTGTTGCAAACTGAAAGTCCTTCTCACCAAAGTCTGTTTCACCAAAATCTCCAGGAACCTAGGTACCTACTGCAAGGGACTTTTTTTTACAACATAGTTTAGAGTTAAATACAGAAAATAAATATTTTTCGACGAGGTAAACTTAAAGCTAATACCGAATCGCGACACCTTTGGCAGTGTTTGTTACCATTAGTTCTTGATCTATACAGGTATTTCACTGTTACACAACACAGTATGTACCTACTTGAAAATAGAACATCACTTATTTGTGATAATATCTGTGGAAATTATAGTTTATTATAGTTTCAATTCCACTATTCCACTTAGATGTCACATCCTAATTATTTATTTGAATACAAATTGTACGTATTTAACCCTAGGGAGCTAATTGTTTCTTTGTAACTCTCATTCTCGATTGTAATTGTTAAGATGACTTGAAGTATCGCGTGATGAAAAATCTTAAACTCTGAGATTAGGATTCGTATAGCGGACGTATTTGAGAAGGGCGTCGTTCTCTTCGCATACGAAGGGTTTGCGGTGGTGGCAGGCCACGTCGTGCCAGTGGACGCCGTCGTTGTAAAAGTTGTTTAGAATCGCTATACAGTGCTCTGATGCTCCACCCTGGATCAGCTCCTGTTGAGAGACGTTATAATAAAAAAGGTGGACCAATGGGCTGTTGCTCTTCAATTTTTATATAGGCGTGGCATCCGCCCTCGATTGTTGTTAATTTCTCCTACAGTAGAGTCGGCTAAATATAGTCCATGTTGAAAGGAACATTATGATTTATCTAATATTGTAAGCTATTTTCAATATCGGGTTATAGTAATTTAGAAGTTTGAGACTACGTCAATACTTAGATGTGAAAACTGAATGTTGTTTTATAAAAAAAATCGCACTAAGAATTAGCATTGAAATAGCGAACCTTGATCTTTATTTCCAGTCGTCTTCGTTAAGCAGTCATACCAGTTTTATCAACTTCCGCATTATGTTCATATTATACCCATGAATGAATCGTAGAAGTTTACTGTTACGTCGTCGTCCGTTAAAGTCGTGTGGGGTTAACCACATAATCGCGCAATACGGTAATGTACAGGGCCTTGGAACGCAAATGAGTTTTGACAAAAAGCGGATGCGGATGATATACACGTTGCGAGACGGCGACCGCAGGGTTACGTATTGTTTGAGACAACCCGCGAGGGAAAGCGCCGCGCAAACAACATGTGCCGACGCACGACGAATACCGATGAGCTTTTGTTCGACGGCTGTTTGTAGAAAGTGGCCCGGGGACATGCGGGTACGCCCTTCAGCGAATATTTCGCAGCCCCATAAATATGCGAGTCACTTTCGTTTTCATTGCGTGACATCCTCAATAACCACATAGCCTAGTGTTCGGATCTGTATGACAAACATTACTTAACTTTGCGGAATCCGAATTGATTCCATTGCATCGCCAGCTCATAAATATGATTGATTTCATAATGTCACGCTTGTATGGATGGGTACGTACAATGTTAAGTACCTATGTTTAATATGTA